TTGTACATTCCCTTCTTTGCCTCCATGGATAACATTGTTTGTCTCTATAAATACCTCAATGCACCACTCACCATTTTTCCTACATCAATTCTGTTTACCTCATCCTTCATAAACCCATCCGCTGACAAGTCAACTCCCCAATATCCAGTTTTTCTTTATCTAAATCGTTTGATACCCTCATCACCTTACTCTTATCTATATTCACTTTCAAATATATACCTTTACACACACTCCCAAACTCATCCACTAACCTTTGCAATTTTTCTTTAAAAATCCTCCAAAAGCACAGTATCACCAGCAAAAAGAAACTGTCAACTCCCATTTTGTATTTGATTCCCCATAATTTAATCCCACCCCTTTCCCCAACACCCTAGCATTTACAGTGAACCCTCGTTTTTCATAATCCGATTTGCGAATCCATTTTCCCTATAAGAAATAATGTAAATCCAATTAATTCGTTTCAGACACCCAGAAGTTGTCAACAAAAAAAATTTTTTTTACCTTAAAGATAGATTTACATGCACAAAAGAATGAACATTCAACATGACAGTTACCTTTACTGAAGGCTGTTGTTGATTGAATGGAAGACAGGGAGGAGGAGAGAGGGAAGAGAGGTTATTGTTAGGAAGGAGAATCCCCCTCCATAAGGACTCTAGGTCACTTCAGGGGTGACTTCCCTAGCCACTTCCCTAGCTTAAATATAGATTTACATGCAGAAAAGAATGCCAAATAAATGTAAAGCACAAATAAAATGTATAAATGAGCATTTAACATCATAATTACCTTTATTGAAGATTCTTGTTGGTGTATGGCAGATGGGGCAGAGGGAGGGGAGGCGAGTTTATTGTTGGAGAATATGACACTAATATCAACTCTACAGCTTATTTATCTATCACAATTCAACTAATATGACATAATAAACTATATTAATAACATAGAAACATGGAATATACTCTAGAATGAATAAGTCATTATGTATGTCACAAGAGGTGTTGTGTTATTGTTGTTGAGTGTATAAGGGCCACTGAGAGCATAAGCCATCCATAATGGTGGTGAAGCAGCAGCTGGGGTGCCGGTATTTTCTGTAGCTCTGTATAACTCCAACAACATTGGAGAAGTTAGTAGAATCGCTGAATCACTGAAGAAGGCACCCTCTACCACCATCACAACCACTACCACCATCACTACCACCCTCTACCACTGTCAATACTACTACCACCCTCTACCACTATCACAACTGCTACCACCATCACTACCACCCTCTACCATCATCACAACTACCCTCTACCACTATCACAACTGCTACCACTCTACCACCACCACTCGTATTTTTCTACAAACTTTTTCTTAACCCATAAACAGTCCAAGCAGATCTACGTTCACATGTGTAGTGCTACATATTTTCAAATATAACAAAAAAAAAGTAGATCAAAGTTTTTTACACATTTTCAAATGTAAAAAAACAAAAAGAAGATCTACTTTTTTTACATACTTTCAAATGTTGAAAAAACGTATATATACGTTTGGACCGTTTATGGGTTAAATTACATGTTTCTCACATTCTTTACCAAATTATTATTATTATTATTATAATCAAAAAAGAAGTGCTAAGCCACAAGGGCTATACAGCATTCTTTACCAAAGGGCTGGCACTAAAAGCTTTCTTTGGAGCCACTGTCTTATTTAGCAGTTGCAAGAGCTAAAATGAAGTATTATGAAATGTATCGTATGAACTCGTGGGATCATCCTCACTCACTGATAAACATTGGCACACTGGCTGGGAATGGAGTGTGAGGCAGCTCGGGGCCATGCATACGTGTCCCAGACGAACAACTATTTGCAAGTCAAATGATGATTCGTGAGTCAATGTTTTGATGAAAAAAAGTTACGATTTCTGAAAATTATGATTTTCGAGCCATACGAAAAATGAGGGTCCATTGTACTTCTTTTACAACTCCATCTATAAAAATGTTGGACCCCATTTTTAACCAGTGCGGAAATCATACAATTAGGATTTCGAGCAGTTTTTTTTTTTGTACATCCCCTTGGAAATCGTTGGTATCAGATGCATGTGCCTGGGCCACTTATACATTCAAGACTCACTCTTGGGCACATTAAATGTCTTATTTTAGGTTAATATAGACATTTTCATTATCATCTAATTTTCAAAATGTAAAACACGTTACATAGCATATAAACATGCCTTCGTTACTCATTCACTGAGAGTGTCCCTCTAGTCTTAATGCCAGAGTAATACTAACAGTACACAATACTAACAGTACATAATACTAACAGTACATAATAATCATCACTCCTGGGCACATTAAATGTCTTATTTTACATTAATATAGACATTTTCATTAATCTATGATATTTTCTTCAAAATTATGTAAGAAACACGTTACATAGCATATAAACATGCAATGTTTATATGCGGTGGAGGGCAAGCATTGCATTTTCCCTGGTCCAGCGTTAGAGAAAACTGTACAAATCTGCATAGGCCCAGTAACTGTCCTTAATACATAAACTTTTGTTTACGATTCTCGGCATGAATCATTCATTAATTCTCCCTTTGTTTATGATGGCATCTAAAGGTAATTGTTAGAAATGATTAAACTCGGTGATGGTAATAATATGGCTGTAGGCTGCAGTGTATGTAGCCAGTAGGTATACACTGGGATGTAGTCTGCCTGGGACTACAAAATTAGTCATGTATATTTATTCCTCATTGTTTTCTGTATGTAAAACTATAGTTATTCTCTATAAAATGCATTTTTTAAATATTTTTGGGTGTCTGAAATGGATTAATTGGATTTACATTATTTCTTATGGGAAATATTGCTTTGGTTTTCGGCCAACCTTCTGGAACGGATTAATTACAAAAACCAGGGGTCTACTGAATGTTAAACAACCATGGTGACATTATACATTCCAATATAAAACTAACTTTTACTGAGAAGTAATCTCCCTCTCTCCTACACACCCCAACCTGAGCCTGACTATCCTCATAAAAACTCTTTACAGCATTTCGTAACTTACTACATATGCCATCTGCCACAATGCTCCCCTATCCACTGCATCATATGCCTTTTCTAAATCCATATAACGAAAGCTTCCCTACCTTTATCTAAATACTGTTCACATATATGCTTCAATGTAAACACCTGATCTACACATCCCCTACCCATTCTAAAGCTTCCTTCTTCATCTGCAATCCTGCTCTCTGTCTTACCTCTCATTCTTTCAATAATAACCCTACCATACACTCTACCTGGTATACTCAGTAAACTTATTCCCCTACATTTTTTACAATCTCTTTTGTCCCCCTTCCCTTCATATAAAGGAATTATACATGCTCTCTGCCAATCCCTAGGTACCTTTCTCTCTTTCACACATTTATTAAACAAAAATACCAACCACTCCAACACTATATCTTCCCCTGCTTTTAACATTTCTGTCATGATCCCATCAGTTCCAGCAACTTTACCCACTTTTATTCTATGTAATGCCTCACGCATCTCCCCCACACTCGCATCCTGCTCTTCTTCACTCCTAAAAAATGCTATACCTCCTTGGCCAGTGCATGAAATTACTGCCTCCCTTTCTTCATCAACATTTAAATTAAAAGTTCCTCAAAATATTCCTGCCATCTACCCAATACCTCCAGCTCCTCATCTACTAACTCCCCTACTCTGGTTTTAACTGACAAATCCATTCATTACCTAGGATTTCTTAACTTGTTTATTTCACTTTAAATCCCATCAATCATCCAACTAGAAAATTTAGTAAATTACCGTAGTGCAGTCTTAGTGACCCTCGTGCAGTTGACAGATTTTCAAAATCATCACCCAGACTACCAATATTAAGCTTAATTTAAACATACAACAGTGGAGAGAGACAGAGAGGGAGAGGGGGGGCTAGCTATATGTAAAGGATGTGAGAAGCCAAACTACAAGAGGGAACTACACAGGCATGAGTGAGCAACTGAATGAGGTGCAGTGGAAAAGAGAAGTGCAATATGGTAGAATGCCAGGTTATGTCTTAAGTTATATTCTCCACACTCCTCCGGAAATTTACAACAAATATCACGATTTTCTGGATCATAATTACACACATTAGCATTTGCCAATTCTGTGTACAACTTGCATTTATAAATATCTTCTATGCATTTTTTATCTTCAGTCTTGCCAGAAACTGAGCATACAAGGGACCTCGTCAATGCCACTACTGTCTTCATTTATCTGTAGTCAATGATTACGCATACTGTACAACATTCATATGCTTTCATGAATAAACATTTGAATGTTAATGTAATTACACAGCAAGATAAACATTCTTATTATTATTATTATTATTTAGTATAAATATAATTTTACAAAAGAAGAAATAAACTTGCGTAGGATAACTATTCATAAATGTACTGTTGAAACTTTGAAAATATCTTTGAAATAAAAAATTAGTACCTTAGAGATGACTGGTTATTATTGGTGGTACCCTCAAGTTATAATAATAGAATGATGCGCTGTTATTGTTTTTATTGGATATTCGTACTTTTGCAGCTCAAGCAAAATATTCTCAAACATCTTTTGGCAAATTTCCAAGACTAAAGCTAAAATGTCCAAAAAATTGCTATCCACTGTTAGATTGATTACTCAATGTAAATTTTAACTAAAAAATCAATACATATATTATTATAGTCCTTGCACATTTTACATAAATTATTTTAGAAATATTTTGAAAAAATTATGTACTGAATGAAGAATATACATCTTAACAATTTCATAGTAGAGTGAAAATATGCAATAGAAAAATTATTATTACGAAAAGATGCAGATTATCATCATATTCACAGGGAAGTGCTAAACCTGTAAGACATATCAAAACTATTCATTGCCTCACAGGGTCACACACACTCACACACACACACACACACACACACACACACACACACACACACACACACACACACACACACACACACAAAAAAAAAAAAAAAAAAAAAAAAAAAAAAATAAAAAAACTAACATGTCCATTTTGCTTTTTAATATATCTCATGATTCAGATTCATGTTCATCCATTTTCAGAATGCTGAAAAATAGTTTGAGACATAATTATTTTACATATAGGTTGAAAATAGTTTTTTTCAATAAAGTTCATACAGAAATCTTACGATAGCAGTTCAAAATATTTGTAGAGAGTATTATACCTGGATTAGCTTCAAACAGGATAACAAACTATGTATAAGTAAATGCTTGATTATCCACATTCTGTCAGATGAATTCTCAGTGAACAAAAGGCCTGCTGATTCGGATGTGACCACTATTATCCAATCACCAGTGGATGAACATAAAAATTTCCATTGTCTAAGTTTGCTATCAAAAAATGCATTTAAATAAAAAAAATACAATATCATTCAAAATACATTATCATTCAAACTATAGTGTGAATGATAAATAATGTATACTTTTACCATCATTCACACTATAGTGTGAATGATGGTGAAAGCATTTCTTTTTCAGGTCAACCCGCCTCAGTGGAAAACGGTGAGCGTGTTTAAAAAAATGATTTACTTGCTAAAATGCAAAATATATTATTCCTGAAGTAAATGTTTTGAATTTTTCCTTCATAGCTACCATAATGTGTTCCTCTTATGTTGATGATTTCCTCACCTGTCACTGTCAACATGTTTTCTTTTCCTCTCTCCCACGTGATCTCTGTAACCTTCTTGCAACCACTGTTTTCAACACTGCTGCCATATGACACTCCCCAGTGGGGAGCCACTGATGGGTAACAGCATGAAGACCCGGGCTAAGACCCGTCCTGTACCTGTATTGCTCCCATAATTCGTAAGGGCAAACTGCATTGCCTCATCTCCAACAGCTCTTGGTCCAAATTCTCCTTGTTTTACCAGTTTTTCTTTTGTCACACTCTCCCAACAATAACTTGAGCTAATTAACAGACTGAGCAGGCTGTACAACCAGCCTGCCAGTTATCGAAGCTTATTCCTTGGGAAGCACTGAAAATGGGTTGGGTAAATATTTTTGCTAGTGGGTTTGGGTTTGAGGAAGACTAGCCTGTAGGTCTGCTGCGGTGTTCCTCCTTTCTTGTGTTCTTGATCTTGATCTTTCCTTTAACACTTCACCTAGTCCCCATGCTGGTACTAATCTTTTTAAGCTCCTTTGATTTCTTTCACCAGCGTTTCTCTCAAAATATACCTGACCACTAGTCGTGGTGCTCTCAGTCCTGCCCTTGATAGTTTCTGACCGAATTCATTTTGTGAAAGTACTGGTGCAAAGTTTACTGTGATGGTCAATAAATCTAAAAAACAGACCAACTGATATCTATAAATTTTTTGTTAGTAGTCTAAGTACCTAAGTACAGAACATCGCAGCTATGGTACTACATCTAGAAGCTATGATTAAGTTTTGCTAAGTTGAATTTAAATGCAGGTTAAGTTTTACAAGTGAAGATACATTTTAGTTTTATTAAGGTGTGAAGAGAGACATTTTTCACGTGTGTTAGCTAATTTTAAAATGTACATAAAGATACACATTTCAAAATAAGAGACCTGTACAGTACTGCAAATAACAAAAAAAGTACTTTAATTATACTTATAAAATCATGCTTTTATTGATAAAAAAAAATAGAAAATAAAAACTTCTTGTTCATCCAACTTTTGCATTATGTGAACTTCTCCCTTCCTACTTTCAATTCACTTGGATAACTGAGCATCTACTTATAAAAAAGTTTGATAAATGAAAGTACAGTATTTATACTCTTTGAAGGAGTGTTAGCATTAAACTAATACCTGAACTAAGGAGATGATAAAACTTGGACATTTCCAAATGTCCTGTAAGCTTTTTTCTTCACTTTTGTTTCAATAAACTATAACGCATCCCATTCTTAAAGTACTGTTTTATACAATGCGACTAGTCAACACGATTCATGAAACCTGTGAAAGAGCAAGATAATTATACAACAGTCACACACACACTATATGGATACAGATATGTCAAATTCAGCTCAGGAATATTAAGTTGATAAATATCACAAGTACCTGTATATGGATAGTCCTATAGGGAAGAAAATGATTGCAATTCTTAAACTACAAGTGGTATAAAGCTTAAACTGACCAACATCATGCTTCTTCACTCACTTGAGGAATAGCAGGTAATTGCAGGGTTCTAGCATAAAATAATATTTCACAGGGATTTAAAGATTCAGTCCTCAATGTATACACAAATTACACTCACAAATTTGCATTAAGTGCACACCTGCCACATCAAACATCACAGCTTTGCAGGTTAGTAATGAAGAGGAAGTCTACATATCACATAGAGAAGTTTATACTTGTTCACAAATAACACTAGATGATACGTGATAATGATAAAGTGTACTGTTCACACTGCAGCTGCACTGGAGAGCTACTACCTGTAGTAATGTGCCAAGTGAGCCAAAGGTGTGACAGTCAAAGGTGATGTCAGATATTAAGTGGTGGTTGGGTCAATGATTCACTAAGGTCCATATCCTGGTAACTTTTAAGGTCATTTGCTGGCACATCTTCTGTAATCATAGCATCACTGCTGCTACCATCACTAGTGTCTACTCCTTTAACTTGACTATCAAACTGGTCTCCATGCTCCTGACCTCCAAATCGTTCTCTATGCTCTTGGTTACTAATTTGATTGGTATGTTCCTGTTCTCCAAAACGATCATTGTGTTCTTGACCAACAAAACGGTCCCTGGATTCTCTTCCTCCGAACTGTTCGCTGTGATCTCGATTACTAAAGCGATCGTTGTGATCTTGGCCGCCGAATCGATTAGCGTGTTCTTGAGTTCCAAAACGGTCTCCATGTTCCTGATTCCCAAATGATGCTGTCTGATCACTGTTAAGTGCAGGCGAAACTGGCTTAAACAGATGTGGTGGGGGATCAGGTGTAGGGGCAGGAGTTTCTGATAAGGAAGCTGGAGAATAAGGAGGAGCAGAGAGACCTGGAGAACCCGAGGAACATACTGATTCAGGAGTGCCCACACTACCTAAAGACCCTGGACCTGCAGGGCTTGGTGTACTCTCCAAACTGCCAACACTGAAAAAGAATATTTCCATTAATATTAAATTACAATAAGCTTACCTCTTCATTAAAAAGCTTAGTACAGCATTAATGATTAAAGCACAGGAAAGTAAATATTTGAAAGGGACAATTAACCCTTCTGGCCAATCACAGTTACACAGTATACCAATAAGTCTGCAAGCATATATATTACTACTACTACTAGAGTATATTTACAGTAAGCACTAAACCTATAAAAGTCATAGAGCACCTAAGGGAGGGAAAAGTAACCAGGTTTTAACCAAGGAAGGGAAGGGAAATTCAAATTCCTTGGATTAAGAGCTCTACATCAGCACGATTACATAGCAATCACAATTTGGCTTTGTCAACTACAGTGATTTACTAGTCAAGCTCATTCTTACTTTTATTCTAGCAATATTTCTTAATTTTGCTTCTGATATTATCAGTGTACATATACACAAGACAATTGCATATCTGAAGTTAATTTACCTGTGGGGTTGTGTTATAAGAAGGCCACCAACACAACGGTCAGGAGTACAAGTGGATGCACGCTTGCTAGGAGTCAAGAAAGGTTCACAACGTTCATCCATTTCCCACTTGCGTTTAAGTCCAAGGGGTGAAGGGCGCAAAGCAATTGGACTCAAACTTCTTCGTGTGGCGAAAGTCTTCTTGGTAGGGGATGGAGATGGGCAAAAGGAGGTGTTGCGGACATGCTGCTGAAGAGATGGGGAAAAACACTGACGACCAACTCCACGGGTAGGTGAAGCGCCACATCCAGTGAGAGGAAGAACAGTAGGTACAATAGTTAAGTGTAATGGGTCAGTAAAGTCTCGCCGCACTGCTGGCACAGCTGTGGACACCGTGCCAGGTGTATTTGCAGCAACACTACTGGTGACATTTATGGGTGCAGCTAAACTCGTAGGAACACTACTTCCAGTAACAGCATGGGCCTTAGGGCGTACAACATCTTCAGTCTGCAGAAAAAAGGTCATTAAAATATTATTTGTAGGAAAAGACACAAACTGCAATAACAGAGGACATGTTTACAGGAAACTTTTCATTCCTGGGACCCAGATCACTCCAAATGTACACAAGAGTTAGAAAATATGTACTACATTATATATATATGGCATGTGTGTTAGATAGCAGGGAGTGGAAGTAAATGGTTTTAAGGACTTGATGAGCTGTTGGAGTATACCACTTCTGTAGAAAAATAATGTTACAATTTGAAAAACATTATCAGTTTGTTACTAACCAAGGTTAAGTCTTCCCAAGACTGTGACAGGCAGTCTGTAATTTGAAGTGTAGATTGAACTGTTCTTTCATGGGCTGCCTCACGATTTACAACATCCATACCTTCTTCGACGCGCAGTTGGCACACGCGTAAGGGACCACTTCCTCGAGAGCTTCCTGGCGACTGCAAAACAAAATATTTAGAAGCTTTGTCAGTCACTTCCTGTTGCCAAGGCAGAATGGGTTAATTAACTTTAAAAATGCTGGAAGGAGTTGTACACCTATGCACATATCTTCAAATATTATTATTTTTTACCACATCGGTCATGCTTCTGGCAAGATGGCAATTACATGAATAATACTGAATGCCTTTCTTATCTTCTTAGATCACCCTTCTTTAGTAGGCGATGGCCAGTGTTAAAAAAAAAGAAAAACACATCAGCGCTTTCTCCACAAAAATAGGCAAGCCCAAAGAAGGAAACACATTCATCATTACTCATTCAACAGCCATCTAGATGTAGATATTGGCATGCTGTCAACTGACTACCTTTACATAGCATATACAATTTAGCTGAAGTCAGGACCAGCTAGAGACAAACGAGCACCAAAAACATGACCAGCACACCCATTCAGGTGTTCAAGAAATAAATACCATGTGAGCATCACATGAAGCAACCCAACAAAACTAGGTGCAGGATGCTTTGCTACTTAACCAAGAGAAAACGTGTACGAAAAGACCCATACAGCCTCGTCCATCTGGGCTGTAGTGGCATGGAGTACAAACAATTTTCTTTCCTTAGTGCAGTATAAAAATGTAGTTTACATATACAATGGAACTCTGATACTCAAACTTAATTAGTTTCAGAAGGCTGTTTGAGTGCCAATCTATTTGAGTACCAAACAAATTTTTCCCAACCAATTTTCTTTTTGGTTGGCTGTTATCATTAATCTTCTTAGGCCACATGGCGCCTTATTTATACAAATATGAAAAACAAAAAAATGCGAAGAAATGCAAAATAGTTTACAGCAAAGTTCTGGCAGGTCGTGTTTGTTTGGTCGAGTGCCAAGCAAACTGTCAACTACCGAGCGATTTTTTTTTACCGAATAGAGCATTCGAATGCCAAACTGTCTGAGTAGGGAGCCGTTTGAGTAGTGAGGTTCCACTGTAATAAAACATTGTTATGCATGCGCATTTCGGGCAGTGTGGAATTATGTTCCAAAAAGATGAAAGGTGTAAGAAAAGGATAGGGAAAACTTCAAGGTGGCAGGATGGATTCTTAGGATGTGAGATGCTGGTGGATAAAATTGTCACAGTGGTGGAATTATCTAAACGAAATTAGATAAAAAGTACTGAAGGGTGAAGTGTCCAGGAGTCAATGATAAAAAAAATTATATACACCTACCATCCGACTTACGACCTGCTCGACTTATGACCACTCGACTTACGACCGTGTTTTTTATGCCAAATTTCTGAGAAATAAACAACTATTTGTGTTGTACACAGTGTTTATCCTAAACCTTACAGTATAAAATACAGTACTAACAGCATAAAAAGTAAAGTAAAACATGAAATACCAAAATAAAACAATAAAATAAATTCATTACAAAAATGTTTTGTTGATATTCAGTAAGTAAAGTTCAACTTACGACCATTTCGACTTACGACCGGTTTCTCGGAACCGAACTCGGTCATAAGTCGGATGGTAGGTGTATTAAGGGTAATTAAATGACAGACAAAAAAAAAAAAGACAAATGGTATCAATTATAATTATTATTGTAGGTTGGTAGATAGCAATCACTCGGGGGGTACTACTGTCCTACCAAGCGAGTGTAAAGAGGAAGCTTGTGTTTTGTTTTACATGATGGTAGGATTGCTGGTGTCCTTTTTTCTGTCTCATGAACATGCACGATGGGGAAAATTAATTCGCCTTACGATAATTTCGGCATACGATGAGCTCTCAGGAACGGATTAATATCGTATGCCGGGGGTCCACTGTACTTGCAACATCTGCCACATTGCTTCCCTATCCACTCTATCATATGCCTTTTCTAAATCCAATGTGTGGTGTGAATATTATGCAGAAAATTCGGAGTGTGGAAATTAGGAGAAGGTGTGGAGTTAATAAAAGTATTAGTCAGAGGGCAGAAGAGGGGTTGTTGAGGTGGTTTGGTCATTTAGAGAGAATGGATCAAAGTACAATGTCATGGAGAATATAAATCTGTAGGGGAAGGAAGGCAGGTTAGGGGTCGTCCTCGAAAAGGTTGGAGGGAGGGGGAAAAGGAGGTTTTGTGGGCGAGGGGCTTAGACTTCCAGCAAGCGTGCGTGAGCATGTTAGATAGGAGTGAATGGAGACGAATGGTATTTGGGACCTGGCGAGCTGTTGGAGTGTGAGCAGGGCAATATTTAGTGAAGGTATTCAGGGAAACCAGTTATTTTTATATAGCCGGACTTGAGTCCTGGAAATGGGAAGTACAATGCCTGCACTCTAGAGGAGGGGTTTTGGGATATTAGCAGTTTGGAGGGATATGTTGTGTATCTTTATACGTAGTATATGCTTCTAAACTGTTGTGTTCTGAGCACCTCTGCAAAAACAGTGATTATGTGTGAGTGAGGTGAAAGTGTTGAATGATGATGAAAGTATTTTCTTTTTGGGGATTTTCTTTCTTTTTGGGTCACCCTGCCTCGGTGGGAGACGGCTGACTTGTTGAAAAAAAAAAAAGAAAAATTCAAGGAAACTGGTTATTTTTATATAGCCGGACTTGAGTCCTGGAAATGGGAAGTACAATGCCTGCACTTTAAAGGAGGGGTTTGGGATATTGGCAGTTTGGAGGGATATGTTGTGTATCTTTATATGTATATGCTTCTAAACTGTTTTATTCTGAGCACCTCTGCAGGAACAGTGATTATGTGTGAGTGAGGTGAAAATGTTGAATGATGACGAAAGTATTTTCTTTTTGGTGATTTTCTTTCATTTTGGGTCACCCTGCCTCGGTGGGAGATGGCCAACTTGTTAAAAAAAAAAAAAAAAATGTAGTAGAGTGGACCCCCGGTTTATGATCTGATCAGCTCCCAATGCGACCAATTATGTAAGTGTATTTATGTAAGTGCGTTTGTATGTGTATGTTTAGGGGTCTGAAATGGACTAATTAATTCACAATATTCCTTATGGGAACAAATTCGGTCAGTACTGGCACCTGAACATACTTCTGGAATGAAATAATATCGTAAATTTGCATTAGTGATTTCATTTTTTGTATGTATTATGTGAAACTTTTATTATAACTACTGAAAATTTTTAAGTAATGCAAGGTTCTTGGATTCAACCTGTCCAGTTTAGCAGTGCAGGCCTATAAGTGAAAAGGCAAGGCTTTTAAATGGTAAAGGATGCACAGCTTAAATTATACTTTATATGCAAAGGCTATACAAAGAAAAACAATATGCAAAATGAAAGTTATACAAAATATTTATGAACCTTCAGAAAGCTTATAACAAGTCAATTGAAATGGATATACTATATGTTCAAAAACCTATATTGTCAGAGGGAAGTTGTCTGGTGCAGTAAAGTACATTCAAAAACAGTGAGCAATTAACTAAATAACGACCAAAGGTGCAAGGCTAATGAATGGATAGACAGATATATTTTACAGAGAGGAACTTTATTGTGATCTTTTGCCTGTAGAACAGGTTTCTTCAGGTGGACAATAAGCAATGTATTTTTACAGGTGCGGTCAGGCAGTAAGGTCAGTGTAGGAGTGTGAGGTAGGGGCACTGCACATGGACTACTAGTCATTATAAGATCATAAGAAACGAAGGAACACATGAGAGGCCTACTAGGCCCATGCGAGGCAGGTCCAAGTCCCTACAGCTTAAGCAATTGCACCCAACCTGTCAGGTCAGTCACAATTGACTTAAGGGGTAACCTACGGCAGACTAGCACATGTTAGCACAAGCTCATCAGGCCTACTTCCACACCTGCCCACATCTACTCAGTATTTATCCAACCTATTCTATAAAGCTCACTAACTTTGGTCACTCTATAGACTTGGGAAGGTTTGTTCCACATCCCAATCATATACCAAACAGTACTTTCTATATCCCATCCTAAATTTGAATTTTCCAACTATAAAACCATTGTCGAGTCATGTCTAGGCTAATATTTCCAGCACCATTCATCATCCCTTTAATTATTGGTTATTCCATTCATAAAACTCAATCAATACCCCCTTAATTCATTACGTCTTTCTAGATGCAGTATTACAGGCCTTAGTCTTAACCTTCATAGGAAGGTTTCTGATACAGTGGGATCATCTATGTCATCCCTTTGTACATTTCCAGAGATGAATTATATATCCATTTCTGTAATATCGGATTGATCAAGAGAACGTGCAAGACATAATCTAATTGGTGCACTAACCAAAGGTGTTATAGAGTTGAAGAACAACACATGTGCAATGCCTTTCTGGCACAGCAACATCTTGGTACAGAGAATTCTTCTACAATTCCAATGCTTGATTAACCTACTGGCATGACTTAGTTCCACTAATGGACTCTCCACCTGAGATGCCACTTCCAACTGCTTTGCCTCATCTATCTCCAGTATATAATCCCCTTTCCCCCATGCATATTCTGTACTTTTATCAGGCTGATGGACTGAGCACATCTCTAGGCTAAGGGACTGATTACCTTCAACTTTCTCTTCACATCTTCCAAGTTCTCTCTGTATCAGACTGATAAAGTGGTTTGGGAGAACGTTTCCACAATATAGATATCCGAGGGTGTATGTATGTCTTATTCAAGGACTGCCAGCCCATGTGTGCACTGATGCACTGTGAATGATTTGGTTATATAAAAGAAGTTCAGCTAAATGTAACTAAACCAAAAGCTCCTTGATTCTATTGGATAATTTTCTGTATCCATCTATTGGAACACTGCATTTGATTCATTAACTTTCATGTTGACAGAACAGTTAGAGAGATAGCACAAGAAAGAGCGGGATTAGCCAGAGATGTCTATTATGACTATTTCTGATGTCTTTTTGATGATTCATTATTAATGGCAGAGAGTGAAAAAAATAATTACTTTATGTGGTGAATGAAATCAAAGTTTTGCAGTGATGTTACTGTAACCAATGAGGTCTGAGCCAGTATGAAGGTATCCAATTTTAAATTTTGGGGAGATACTGTACGATGTAAGTTTGCACCTCGGGAAAAGGCTGCCCTACCTCTGTGGAAGGTAGTCAAGTCCAGCCCCACCTTCTTGCAGTGGCTTCATTAGCACACCCTCTCGAGGGTGGAACCAACAGGATGGCCGGTACCTGGGAATCCCAGGTAATTATATTTCCATAAAAAAAATTTTTTTTTTTTACTTGTAATTGTGAAGGATTCAATTCAAAATCCTTGACTTTATTTGTTTAATCTTAAAAAGCAAGCTCTCTTAACCCTTAAATTTTATATTGTATACTGTACAGTGTTTTTTTTTTTTGTTTTTTTTTTTAATCCCAATTCTCTCAATATAGATGGCTATGTCAGTGGATGAAACTGACAGGTGTTCCCTTGGCTACAGTGTGCTGGTGGCTTGCAACTTTTTGTCAATGACTCCTAGTGGTGGGGAGACAGCAGTGGAGGAGCCATCAGGCATGAGAATTAAAAAAAAAAAATGGCTCAAGTAAGAAGAGAGGAAAACAACTCTGGAAGAACTTAAAAAAGTTTTATATAACAACCTCAGGTACCAATAAAATGCATTATGCGACAAACGGAACAAAGAAAGGAGGGTTTCTTCTAGGCTTAAGACTTGTACAGATTGAATGTTAGATTAGATTTAGTATGTCTGCCATCAAACGAGGCACTAAAGACAGTAAGGGCAAACTAGACATTTAAAATTTAGTAAGAATGTTTTAAAACACTATTTATTCACATAAAAACAATGAAAAAAGTAATTTTTTGTTCTACTTTCTAATAATGCTTAAAATTTCAACTAAAAGCTCCCCAGAAAGCAAGTGATGCTGGTAATGCACACAAATCCTTCAATAAAATGTTACATAATTAATATATGACTTTTTAAAATATCAATATAATAAGATACCACCTTATAAATCACTTATACATTAACATCACATACCACATTTAATGAAACAATTAAATATCATTACATTCCATTTAACAAAAAAGTTAAATATTTTCACATACCAGAGGGGACACAGGGCCAAAAGAAGCACTGAAGCGGCGCACTCGAGGCTGACTACCTGAAACTTCCCCTATTACAGCATCCCTGAAAACATCAGGAAATGTAAGATAACGTACTTACTGTGTCTCCAAGCATATTGGGTTTACACACTGTAAACTGCATACATGTGATTACAAATACAGTACAGGTGAGTCTTGCTTATACAGAAGGTTAGGTTCCAGACTACTGTTGTACAGCAAAAATCACTGTAAAGTGAAACGGGCCTTTTTCCACTTTCAAATGCATATAAAAGCCTGATAACATGTTTACACTATCATATATTAAGTGAGCAATAGAGTCAGGCCAAAAAATGCATACACAGTACACATTACTTACCCTAAAATATTTTTGTCCGTAGATATTAGTGAGCAGTGAATATATTTATTGTAGGAAGTCTGAATAAATGAAGAATAAGTATAACTGAAAACCACTGTATTTGAAAAATGCTGTAAAGCTAAGAGCTGTAAAGCAGGGCCTGCCTGTAATGTAAAAGTGTAATAAAAACTTGATCAATAGCACAAACGCACATGAAGAAAAATAACACGGAAAATAAGATGGGTACTATATATTCAGCTTCAGACTGAGGTACTCCTCAGCAGGCTCAATTATGATAGTAATGGAAAAGTGCTAAACCAGTATGGGTCATACAGGGCCAGAAGACTAAAATCTCTCAATGCGATATCAAATACACAGAAATACAGGCAAACCTTGATAATATGGTGCTCACTTTACATTGCTTCACTAATACTGTGCTTTTCAATTACAGTAGTTCACCCCATATCTGCCCAGGATACTTTCCAAGACCTACCATGGATACCTGAAACATTGGATAGTAGCAAACATACACAAGTCATTTTTTGTTTACATACATACCTATGATAGTTTAACTGATAAATTACACACAATAAGTCAAGAATTAGCACTGATGGGAAGCACTTTACGGCTTCTCTTAGGCTTTGAACAACTGCCACCATCATTACTTTTGTAATCTGGAGCCATTCTTATGCAAAATTAAGGCTTATTTTCAGGCCATGGTAAACTGTGGATAACTGAAACCATGGAAACTGAATCCAGAGGTTTTACTGTATATTCATGTTTATTATTTTCGGCTCTTACCTTGCCTCTTAAGATATTTTCAGCAATTTAAAAAAAAAAATATTTTTACTTTTGCAACTTTTGTATCTTTTCTAAGGCCTAGTACTACTGTGAACTTAATAATTGATGGTGTGAACATGTTTTAAGGCTTTTATGTGCACTGGCAAGTGAAAACAGGCTGTGATTTGCTTTAAGGCAGCAGTCTGGAACCTAATCCACTGTATTAGTGAGGTATGCCTGTTTACTCTGCATATCTTGTTTCATTCTCTCCATACAAGTTAATTTGTGCTATCTTTAGATTAAGTTAATATTTTTGCTCCAATATTTTTAATAACTGCTTTAACTGTAAGCAGAGTGGGAGCATTAAATACAAAAATACTTTCATAAAACTTTATTGAAACATACAAGTCCAACCTTCCTACACAAACGACAAATTTTTCTAAATTTGTCAAATATCATACATATTTTACAACTCATCTTCCAGTGTAACAAGTCTTTATTCTTAATACATAGATCTCTGCATATTTCAGCTACTGTATCATTTTTTTATTCCTCTTTTGTATATGGGGACTTGCGCAATTATAACCTGTGTAAGGAATATTGGCTATACCAGATACACGTGTAGGAATATTTGCTATACCAGATACATGTGTGTGAGGAATATTCACTGTACCAGATAAACAATGAAATACTAAAGTGCAGTACAATGTTTTGTAGGTTAATACAGATGCCCCTTGCATTATGATACAGTGGAACCTCAAATTTCGAATTTAATCCGTTCCACGAGTAGTTCTAAAGGTGAAAAGTTTGAAAGGCGAAGCAATATTTCCCATAAGAAATAATCCGTTCCAGAAACCCAAAAATATTCTCACATACACACACAAAAAAAAAAAAAAAAAAAAAAAAATACATTTTATAGATAGTATTACATTATACGTAGTTTTACATACACACAACAAATATAGTGTACAATTATTAATAAATTTAAATAAACATATAAAATAACATTTTTACTTACCTTTATTGAAGATTGGTGATGGCATCTGGAAGATAGGGAGGAGGAGAGAGGGAGTTGGGGTTAGTGTTTGGAAGGGAAAGCCCCCTCCATAAGGACTTTAGGTATCAAAGCCCTCTCTGGGGTTACTTCCCTTCTCTGTCTTTTAATGCCACTAGGACCGGCTTGAGAGTCACTGGACCCGTCTCGCAAAATAACTGTCCACAGTCCTCTGTTTCTGGCGCCTCTAAGATTTCCCTAAAATGAGACATGGTTCTGTCACTGAACTTGTTGCAAAGATGGCTTGTTTCAGCTTGCTCAGGGTGGTACTTTTGCACAAACATTTGGACATCATTCCACTTGGTGCAAATCTCCTTAATCTTTCTTTACCACAGGGGTACCATTACCAAGTTTCTTTGGGCCCATGGTAGCTTATTTCACAGTCCCACAAGCACTAAACACAATGAATTAATCATAAAATGTTTGAATGAGACCACAGGTTAGTGTTCACTCAAGCATCAACAAAACCAGACTGGCTCACAGTGCCTGCGCAGGGACGCGGACAGAGCAGGCTAGTGGACAGGTCTGGTACCCGACTGTTCGAAAGAAGGGGCGAGTTCGATAATAGGGACAAAGTTGGTTCAAAAAGAGCGGTTGATTTTCAAAGAGTTCGATAAGCGATATGTTTGAAATTTGATGTTCCACTATATTTCAACTTGTCAGTTCTCTGAACCGTCTATCTGTTAAGCTGATATATTAGGCATATAGGCAACACTTGGGTATCTTTATTGAGGAAATGTTTTGCCACACAGTGGCTTTGTATTGGACTGATGACGCCACTGTGTAGCAAAACGTTTTCACAATAAAGATACACATGTGTTACAGGTTTCTAATTTATCATTTCTTTATAATGGTGCAATAGCTATGCTGAACAGTACTGTATAGTTATTAGTAGGATCAACTTGTATTCACCTATTTACTTTTCAATAGTAATACAGCCTCTCCTCACTTAGCAACGTACTAGTTTACCAATGACTCGGACTTACAACAGGCTATATTAGAGCTGATTTCTTCTATTGTTTATTACAATATACGGTAAACTACTGTACAAACATCTAAAAATATACCAGAAATGTTATAAATGGTGCAAAGGTGACATTAAAACAATATCAAATATGGTTGACACAAACCCACTACAAGTCGGCTATCACAAATCCGGCAACATTGGGACCTGTGGTGTGCCTGATTAGCGAGTCTGCTTGATTACAGAGTGGTTAAGTTAGAATACACTTAATTAACCTATCAGTAGAGACTCTTTCTGCTACTGTTTCCTCATTTTCATCACTGCTTTCTCCTCCACTGGCTTGCTGCTGTGGATTTACAACCATCTGCACAATTTCTGAGTCAGTATAATGATGAAATTTGAAATTATGCCAGCTGATATTAGTGCCAGATTACTGATGGAGCTGGATAACTGAATGGTGGATTAGTGATGGTCAACCTGTACCATTGTAGTATGCTCCTCACTTAGTGACAAATTCGTTTACCGACGTGGTCTTAGGAACGGAACTCCATCGTTGAGGAGAGGCTGTATTAAGTTACAGTAATTATTTATTAATTTACTTATTCAGTAGCAGCAGTTATTTATTTATCGTCATGGTAGGATTGCTGGTGTTTTTTTTTCTGTCTCAAACAGGCAAGATTTTGGGTACATCTTGCTACTTCTACTTACACTCAGGGAAACCAGTTATTTTTACATAGCTGGACTTGAGTACTGGAAATGGGAAGTACAATGCCTGCACTTTGAAGGAGGGGTTAGGGATATTGGCAGTTTGGAGGGTTATGTTATGTATCTTTATATATGCTTCTAAACTGCTGTATCTGGGTGCCTCTGCAAAAGCAGTGATTATGTATGAGTGAGGTGAAAGTGTTGAATGATGATGAAAGTATTTTCTTTTTGGGGATTTTTCTTTCTTTTTGGGTCACTCTGCCTCGGTGGGAGACAGCCGACTTGTTGAAAAAAAAAAAAACTTATTTATATTCAACTTACAATATTTTCAACTTACAGTGGACTCACTGGAATGTACCCCATCGTAAGTCAAGGAGCACCAATATAACATGTCAATAGTGTCCTATGGCTCAATTGGTAGTGACATCAGTTCACACCCTGAGGGGTCTCTAGTTCAATCCCCAGCATGGATGGAAACACTAAACATGTTTCTTTACACCTGCTGCTCCTGTTCACTTAGCAGTAAGTAGGTACCTGGGTGTTAGTCGACTATTGTGGGGCTGCATCCCTGGAAGTGTTAATATAACCTAGACAGGGCTGGGCTTTGAAGTGAACTGAGATAGATTAATAGCTTTTAGTCTCAATTCAAATGAGTGAAAAATATTCTTCTGAATGTTACTGTTATTTGCACTGCCTAAATTACTGGGAACAGCTGAAATCCCTTGACCTGTACTCCTTGGAATGCAGGCGAGAATGATACATGGTAATATACACTTTGAAAATCCTAGAGGGACTAGTTCCAAATCTGCATGTGGGAATCACTCCCTATGAAGGCAAGAGACTTGGCAGGTGGTGCAATATCTCCCTAATGAAAAGCAGGGGTGCCACGAGTACACTAAAAGACAATGCAATAAGTGTCAGAGGCCCAAGACTGTTCAACTGCCTCCCAGCATACATACGAGGGATTACTAATAGACCCCTGGCTGTCTTCATGAGGACAGGTACCTAAAGTCAGCACCTGACCAGCAGGGGCTGTGGTTTGTATGCTGGCTTATGTACAGCCAGGAATAACAGCCTGGTTGATCAGGTCCTGATCCACAGCAAGGCTTGGTCATGGACCAGGCTGCAGGGGCATTGATCCCCAGAATATTAACCAATTAGAGTAATATACTATAGAGATATGACCTCTTAAATAAAAAAATGAATCTTAATCCGAGATAAAATATGCTGTCCAGACTAAATTTTGTACTATTCCCATGTCCAAGAATTTGGAGGAGCAGTTATGTGAAGTTTGTTTCAGTCAATGTCTGTTGCATTAATATGGAAATATTTAATATTTAAACTCTCACGATTCCTTTTATGTATCTTTTTACCTTATCACAGTCCTTAGTAATGGCAAATACAGACACTTGTTAAACAATTAGTCTTAAGAATGTTTATTTTGAAGGCCTAGTAAGTATATTTAGGCACAGGTACACATAAGTACAATTATCATACATAGTATAAATTACCTAGTGACTTACTTCCACTGGGGTTCTATGTACTCAATATATCCCATAAAATCTCATATAAAACTATAAAATATAGTTCTAACAGGAAGTGACAAAATTTTCAGACATGTCATAACAGAAAGAGCCAGGAGTTACCTAGAAACCGATGACATTGGGGGTGCAGAAACAGGCCCCTGTGGCACCAACTGGTTGATCATAGGAGCACTGCTAGACCTCTTGAGTTTACTTCCTCCACCAACTCCACCCTGACCACTCACATGACTTGTGGTTGAACTACTGCCACACCCTTCACTGTCAGACACACTTGCTCCACTAACATCTACATCCATTGTGGTTCTGGTCCCTGCACCTTTCTCCACCACAATCTGTAAAGGTCGGAAGGTATATTGTACAGTGGTACCTCAGTATACATCCTTAATCCGTTCCAGGACCTTGGACTTATACCAAACAAATTTTCCCATAAGAAATATAGGGAAAAAGATTAATCCGTTCCCATGAAAAAATCCAATTGTCACTGGCATATTATACAATGATGGGGTTGCATCAAATAATTTAAACACTGCTTAATACTAAATTTTTTTTTTTTAACAAGTTGGCCGTCTCCCACCGAGGCAGGGTGACCCAAAAAGAAAATACTTTCGTCATCATTCAACACTTTCACCTCACTCACACATAATCACTGTTTCTGCAGAGGTGCTCAGAACACAACAGTTTAGAAGTATATATGTATAAAGATACACAACATATCCCTCCAAACTGCCAATATCCCAAGCCCCTCCTTTAAAGTGCAGGCATTGTACTTCCCATTTCCAGGACTCAAGTCTGGCTATATAAAATAACAGGTTTCCCTGAATCCCTTCACTAAATATTACCCTGATCACACTCCAACAGCTCGTAAGGTCTCAAATACCATTTGTCTCTCCATTCACTCCTATCTAACATGCTCACGCACGCCTGCTGGAAGTCCAAGCCCCTCGCCCACAAAACCTCCTTTACCCCCTCTCTCCAACCTTTTCAAGGACGACTCCTACCCCACCTTCCTTCCCCTACATTTTTATACACTCTCCATGTCATTCAACTTTCATCCATTCTCTCTAAATGACCAAACCACCTTAACAACCCCTCTTCAACCCTCTGACTAATACTTTTATTAACTCCACACCTTCTCCTAATTTCCACACTCCGAATTTTCTGCATAATATTCACACCACGCATTGCCCTTAGACAGGACATCTCCACTGCCTCCAACTGTCTCCTCGCTGCAGTATTTGCAACCCAAGCTTCACACCTATGTAAGTGTGTTGGTACTACTATACTTTCATATATTCCCTTCTTTGCCTCCATAGATAATGTTTTTTGTCTCCACATATACCTCAACACACCACTCGCCTTTTTTCCTTCATCATTTCTATGATTAACCTCATTCTTCATAAATCCATCCGCTGACACGTCAACTCCCAAATATCTGAAAACATTCACTTCTTCCATACTCCTCTTCCCCAATTTGATATCCAATTTTTCTTTATCTAAATCATTTGATACCCTCAGCACCTTACTCTTTTCTATGTTCATTTTCAACTTTCCACCTTTACGCACACTCCCAAACTCGTCCACTACCCTTTGCAATTTTTCTTTAGGATCTCCCATAAGCACAGTATCATCAGGAAAAAGTAACTGTCAATTCCCATTTTGTATTTGATTCCCCATAATTTAATCCCACCCCTCTCCCAAACACCCTGGCATTTACTTCTTTTACAACCCCATCTATAAATATATTAAACAACCATGGTGACATTACACATCCCTGTCTAAGACCTGCTTTTACTGGGAAGTAGTCTCCCTCTCTTCTACACACCCTAACCTGAGCCTCACTATCCTCATAAAAACTTTTTACAGTATTTAGTAACTTACCACCTATTCCATATACTTGCAACATCTGAAACACTGCTCCCCTATCCACTCTAACATATTGCCTTTTCTAAATCCATAAATGCAATAAAAACTTCCCTAGCTTTATCTAAATACTGTTCACATATATGCTTCAATGTAAACACTTGATCTACACATCCCCTACCCACTCTAAAACCTCCTTGCTCACCCGCAATCCTACATTCTGTCTTACCTCTAATTCTTTCAATAATAACCCAACCATACACTTTTCCTAGTATACTCAGTAAACTTATTCCTCTATAATTTTTAGTCTCTTTCATCCCCCTTCCCTTTATATAAAGGGACTATACATGCTCTCTGCTAATCCCAAGGTACCTTCCCCTCTTTCATACATTTATTAAACAAAAAATACCAACCACTCCAACACTATATCCCCCCTGCTTTTAACATTTCTGTCATGATCCCATCAGTTCCAGCTGCTTTACCCCCTTTCATTCTATGTAATGCCTCACACACCTCCCCCACACTCACATCCTACTCTTCTTCACTCCTACAAGATGGTATACCTCCCTAAAATACACATACACAAAAGAATTAGAAGAAATAAATGTAAATTTAACCTCGCTTTACTGAAAAGAGTCGAATGCCTACTAAGATAGTGCTGAGAAGGGAGGAGGAGGAAATATTGTTTGGGAGGAGAGTCTCCTTCTCTTTTCCTTATTTGGACCTGGCTGAAGTTCACCAGGTTTGACTTTTACTGAAAATCTGTCCAAAGAACTTTGCTTCTGCCTTCTCCTCAGGATGTTTCAGAAATGTGACACTGTCTGGTCATTCCAGACAATGCTATTACGGCTTGTTTGGGCTTTGGGTGGTACTTCTCTGCAAAGCTTTTGACATCCATCTATCTGGATGCACATGGCACCTTCATACTTTTCAACAATCTCTTTTTTTTTACCTCCATGGTGATCCTAACCATTTTCTTCATTGCTTGGCTCTTCCCGTTAACTTTCTTAAAACTCATGGTTAAAGAATTTACTAAAAATTTATACGAAAAAACACAAAATCATGTGAAAATTCACCGAGTTACAGTGTGCGCTCACAGAATGGTAGCAACGGGCGTACGACATTGGTGGGGAGTCGTGCTTTGTCTCAAGAGAGGGGTAAACAAGGGTAGCGCGCAGTGTCAACTCATTTTGACCCATACAAGTTCTAGCACATGAGTCATATTTGAAACAAAGGTCATATACCAAGCAAAAATTTTGCGTCCAAACAGGACGTATACCAAGTTGGATTTATTCCAAAGCGGACGTTTACCGAGGTACCACTTTATATTCTTTTATCAGAGTCCTAACGTCAAACAGAAATAAAATAAATAAATACACACACAACACACACACACACACACAATGTATGTACACATGTACATACATATGTACATACATATACGTATGTACATTTGTATGATGTATGTATGTAAAAACTGAAGATAAGTTATAATGAGTTTCTCAATGAATAAACAGAAGAATGGGTAAGGACTTGAACTGTGGTCCTGACATGTAGCAGGTCCAAAGCTGTACCACTGAGCTACAAAACTGGGAAAAATAATGCATTTGCCTACAACCTCCAAGAGGTGGAGAGACAGAGGATGATGTGCATATTGCTTTGGTTATCAGTTAAGCACTACTGGGTCTAGCCAGTAACTGAATGGATACCATATGGACACCGCCTTTTTTTTTTTTTTTTTTTTTTTTGTTTAAGGTATAGATATTCATAAACCAAAAGTTTCCAGTCCCACTTGCTGCATGTTCATACATAATAGGGCTCAATGCTCTGTATCTGTAAATAACAGGGCTCAATGCTGTGTATTCATACATAATAGAACTCAATGGTTGTATGCAGTAACCCCATATCCACCACCAGCAATTTGCTATATACAGTATAAACTCACTCTTATGTGATCACCCAAGGCTAGTACCACTAAATTTTTAGTTTATATTGCCAGGGGCTTGAGAATGCAGCAGGTGTGTAAGCATGTTAAATTAGGACAAGTGTAGACAGGGAAAAGAACAGTGTTTTCAGATGTGCCAGGCTGTGATGGATATGTAGGGCAGTGGGCCACCAGTAGCAAAAGCCAGTTGACTAACAAGCACCAGACAAGCCTGGCCTATGGCTCTGGGAGTATAAAAACCCTAAAAACTCAAAGATTTAAAGGTACTGCACTCTGAAGGAGAGAGGGCATGTTGCAGTTCAGAGGGTCATTTATACTGTAATAGTCTTTGCACTTCTGAAAGACAGCTCTTGAATGAGTGGCAGTGATTTTTTTTTTTTTTGGGGGGGGGGAGGGGTCACCCGAATCTGGTGATAGATGGCTTTGGTAATAAAAATTAAATATCACTCAAAACTGTTTTTATACTGACATACATAATAAATAAATTAATAAAAAAAAAGATTTGGGAGAGGAGGGGAAGAATTCAATGAGCAAATTTTGAATGAAATTCTACAGTTGATTTTCAACTTTAAGAATTTTGCATCAAGAGAAAATAACCATTTAGTCATATGAAGTTAGCTGGTACTGATAAGAAGTCAAGGACAGGGGTGGAGGGAAGGAGAAGAGAGAAGTCAGGGACAGGGGCAGAGGGAAGGAAAAGAGAGAAGTCAGGGACAGGGGCAGAGGGGAGGAGGAGAGAGAAGTCAAGAACAGGGGTGGAAGGAAGAAGAGAGAAGTAGGGAGTTAAGTGTTCAAAAGTTCATAACTTGTGCTTCAACACAAAAACCGACTGACTGGCTGGTGATGGTGAAGGAAAGAAGGTTAGGAGATGCAGATCATGTGACAAGACATAGTCATGTGTGACCATAGTGCTGTGTGAAGCCGTAGTGCCGTGTCGAGGCAGGTGTGTGTCGAGGCAAATTTAATATGTGAGGGAAGTCTCTTGTGATATACACAAGCATAGCATCTTGTGTGATGTCTCAGGTTAGTGCCTTGCGCCATGTATCAGGGCAGTCTTGCGCCACGTACCAGGGCAGTCTTGCGCCACGTACCAGGGCAGTCTTGCGCCACGTACCAGGGCAGTCTTGCGCCACGTACCAGGGCAGTCTTGCGCCACGTACCAGGGCAGTCTTGCGCCACGTACCAGGCAGTCTTGCGCCACGTACCAGGGGCAGTCTTGCGCCACGTACCAGGGGCAGTCTTGCGCCACGTACCAGGGCAGTCTTGCGCCACGTACCAGGGCAGTCTTGCGCCACGTACCAGGGGCAGTCTTGCGCCACGTACCAGGGCAGTCTTGCGCCACGTACCAGGGCAGTCTTGCGCCACGTACCAGGGCAGTCTTGCGCCACGTACCAGGGCAGTCTTGCGCCACGTACCAGGCAGTCTTGCGCCACGTACCAGGGCAGTCTTGCGCCACGTACCAGGGCAGTCTTGCGCCACGTACCAGGGCAGTCTTGCGCCACGTACCAGGGCAGTCTTGCGCCACGTACCAGGGCAGTCTTGCGCCACGTACCAGGGCAGTCTTGCGCCACGTACCAGGGCAGTCTTGCGCCACGTACCAGGGCAGTCTTGCGCCACGTACCAGGGCAGTCTTGCGCCACGTACCAGGGCAGTCTTGCGCCACGTACCAGGGCAGTCTTGCGCCACGTACCAGGGTAGTTTTCCATCAATCAGAGCAGTCTGGTACCATGTATCAGGGCAATACTGTACATCTCAGGGCAGTCCAGTGCCATGTCTCAGGGCAGTCCTGCGCCATGTCTCAGGGCAGTCCTGCGCCATGTCTCAGGGCAGTCCTGCGCCATGTCTCAGGGCAGTCCTGCGCCATGTCTCAGGGCAGTCCTGCGCCATGTCTCAGGGCAGTCCTGCGCCATGTCTCAGGGCAGTCCTGCGCCATGTCTCAGGGCAGTCCTGCGCCATGTCTCAGGGCAGTCCTGCGCCATGTCTCAGGGCAGTCCTGCGCCATGTCTCAGGGCAGTCCTGCGCCATGTCTCAGGGCAGTCCTGCGCCATGTCTCAGGGCAGTCCTGCGCCATGTCTCAGGGCAGTCCTGCGCCATGTCTCAGGGCAGTCCTGCGCCATGTCTCAGGGCAGTCCTGCGCCATGTCTCAGGGCAGTCCTGCGCCATGTCTCAGGGCAGTCCCTGCGCCATGTCTCAGGGCAGTCCTGCGCCATGTCTCAGGGCAGTCCTGCGCCATGTCTCAGGGCAGTCCTGCGCCATGTCTCAGGGCAGTCCTGCGCCATGTCTCAGGGCAGTCCTGCGCCATGTCTCAGGGCAGTCCTGCGCCATGTCTCAGGGCAGTCCTGCGCCATGTCTCAGGGCAGTCCTGCGCCATGTCTCAGGGCAGTCCTGCGCCATGTCTCAGGGCAGTCCTGCGCCATGTCTCAGGGCAGTCCTGCGCCATGTCTCAGGGCAGTCCTGCGCCATGTCTCAGGGCAGTCCTGCGCCATGTCTCAGGGCAGTCCTGCGCCATGTCTCAGGGCAGTCCTGCGCCATGTCTCAGGGCAGTCCTGCGCCATGTCTCAGGGCAGTCCTGCGCCATGTCTCAGGGCAGTCCTGCGCCATGTCTCAGGGCAGTCCTGCGCCATGTCTCAGGGCAGTCCTGCGCCATGTCTCAGGGCAGTCCTGCGCCATGTCTCAGGGCAGTCTTGCGCCATGTCTCAGGGCAGTCTTGCGCCATGTCTCAGGGCAGTCTTGCGCCATGTCTCAGGGCAGTCTTGCACCATGTCTCAGGGCAGTCTTGCACCATGTCTCAGGGCAGTCTTGCACCATGTCTCAGGGCAGTCTTGCACCATGTCTCAGGGCAGTCTTGCACCATGTCTCAGGGCAGTCTTGCACCATGTCTCAGGGCAGTCTTGCACGTCTTGCACCATGTCTCAGGGCAGTCTTGCACCATGTCTCAGGGAAGTCTTGCACCATGTCTCAGGGAAGTCTTGCACCATGTCTCAGGGCACTTGTACCATGTCTCAGGGCAGTCTTGCACCATGTCTCAGGGCAGTCTTGTACCATGTCTCAGGGCAGTCTTGTACAGTCTCAGGGCAGTCTTGTACCATGTCTCAGGGCAGTCTTGTACCATGTCTCAGGGCAGTCTTGTACCATGTCTCAGGGCAGTCTTGTACCATGTCTCAGGGCAGTCTTGTACCATGTCTCAGGGCAGTCTTGCACCATGTCTCAGGGCAGTCTTGTACCATGTCTCAGGGCAGTCTTGTACCATGTCTCAGGGCAGTCTTGTACCATGTCTCAGGGCAAGTCTTGCTGCCATGTCTCAGGCGTCTGTACCATGTCTCCAGGGCAGTCTGTACCATGTCCAGGCAGTCTTGAACCATGCTGGCAACCTTTACCTGCAACAATGTCTAGGCAGTCTGCGCCATCGAGTCTGGTACTCATCTCAGCACTTGGTCCATGCTCGCTCTTACGGCAATCACTCCATGCTACACGGTAGAAATGAGCCTGCCCGCACCCTCATCATGGCTGCCAACTGAGACACACCACATCAACCATATACTTCATACCAATGGCTAGCTGAGCTCTGGCTGCCTGAGGCTCGGCATTAGCTGCATCTCCACAAACTTGGTCCATTACGCTCTAAGACGAGCAATAAATCGCTTTAACTCCTGGGAGAAATGTTCAAGCGCTCACGCATCATCCACTGAGACATTGTCACACGGAGAGCAACGTGACTGCTCGGAAATTTTAGCCAAAACTTGGGGAAAACGTCATTATCGACGTGCAATGTTTTCGTTCACAAGCCACCATTGATGTTACTTAAAGAATCTGGCTCGGCGACATCTGATTGGTCCAGGGGCTCGGCACCAGCCAATCAGAGAATAATTCTTAACCTCCCTACTGGCCATACTTTTCCAACGGGGTAACAACTATTTGGGCAATGGAAACCCAATTTTTGGATTTTGGGTATTACTGTGGCATTCACTGGTTAAGGTGGGAAGGCTAAACCCGCAGGGGGATTATATAGCTCCTGGGGATGGAATAGGAGGCAATCAGGCTCGATCTCAGGAACGGGAGATCAGGTGCAATTTCTTGGATCAAGAGCCCTTCCCCGGCACCAAAAAAACTTTTTTGAGGAGTAAAAATCTAGATAATAATCAAGTAAGTCTTTATTTAGGTGTCACGTACATAGCATACAATTATTTCATAATGATCTTTAAGGCACACAACTGTTCTAAATGTTATGCAATATTGACCCTTCGTGCTGGTGAAGGGCTCTTCATCCAGGTAACTGGAGGCATCATGCTTTTTCTTCCATAAAACCCGAAGTGAAGGAAGTGAATTTGGTAGGAAGGAGGAGAAACATATTGGTGTGGCAATGAAGCAGAGGGGTTAATTGGGCCTTGTTGCATTGTTAGTAATTTTAACTGCCCAAAGTAATAGTTTTGCATTGATAAATGTCATTGTGTGTTCTCTTTTATGAAAGCTGTGGTGTGGATGGCGCTCCATAGATACTACTACTACTGACCACAGAACGGGTAGGGATTGAACCCGTGGTCGATGAGATTTGCCATAGGTTCAAACCACCATCACTTGGCTCTGCAAATTATTATTATTATTATTATAATTAAAAAGAAGCGCTAAACCACAAAGGATTTGGCTCTGCATAACCATGGGCTTTCTGCATGCACAACCAAATGTCACTCAGTGGCGGACCTACATTTTTGGGGCCCTGAAGAGTGAACTGTTATGGGGCCCCCTTCTCATACAGTAGACCCAAAAATTTTAAGCAATGTGGACTACAGTGGCTTCTGGGGCCCCTCTGGGATTAGAGGCCCTGAAGCTTAAGTTTCATTAGTTTCATAGTAGATCCGCCCCTGATGTCACCCATCTCCGTACAAACATTGTATAATTTGGAACTAAATCTTTGGTTTTGACTTGACCCGTTCTGTGATTTATATGCAATCGTGCTGCTGCTACTGCTTGGTACTAGAGGCATCGGGTGCAGGGATTCCTGGGGTGTGGATGGTGCCTCTGGAAGCTATCAAGAGTCTGAGGGCCTGCATGGAGAGGTGCAGTTCCCTGAAGGGCGGCACCACCAGGCCACTGACGATGTCCACGAAGCTGGTGAAGGAAGAGATGGCCTCCTCTCGATGACCCTCGTCCATGTGTTGACAAGCAGCCACGTACACTGTAACAATGTTACTGGTTAATATTGCATACATTTCCACACTACGTGGGCAGAAGAGCTAGGAAAATAATGTAAGATCAAGAAGGTAATGTCAGGTGAACGCGCTCACCTAACATTCCTTACTCCCTCGCACGGTGAGAAGTGCAACCTTTCCTATACATTCACGTTCTCCTTTCACCTGTATATCTGCTGAAGAGGATCCCAGAAGGGGGTCGAAGTATACAGGTCAATCAATATCCTGAGTTTGGAGGTTTCCAGATAGAAGGGAAGCCTGGCTACAAGAACAGAAACTCTGGAAAGTGGGGATGTTGCGGTTTGGATGGGCATCTGAACTGTGATGTCACCCCCTTCTGGTAAAATAGTGACTGAATGAGTGACAGTGAAAGAGTTTTCTTCTTGTCAGGTCGCCCTACCTCGGTGAGAGACGGCCGGAGTGTTAATAATAATAATAATAATAATAATAATAATAATAATAATAATAATAATAATAATAATAATAATGGAAACAGAGATGTATAAATATACTGTGAGTTTACGAGATGTTAAAAAATAAACCGGATGATCTTAGAGAAAAAACAGGGAGACATGATAAGAACGTGCAAGATATCAAGAGTTTGGTAGGACAGGGACAGACTCGCTGAAATCAAATCAAGTTTATTCTCTATAAGGATTACAATGCTGAGTTTACAGAATTTGGATATTGTGTGGTTTACATGTTTTAAAATACTAATTACAGAGGGGGCCACTAGAACACCTAGCATGGCTAGGCATTTCGGGCAGACTTAGATTAATTCTTAAATTTAAAATATTACAAATTATGAGGTAAGTTGGTATTATGGCTAAGTGACTAAATACTAGTTTGTGAGTTTAGCAATGTGAATGCTTTTGTTTTGGCACAATACATAGTTTCAATATTGGAGTATCACAGGCCAACTTATGACTAGTTAGGATTCATTATTTTAAGATTAAGATTGATATTTCTGTGTTTATGGTCAAGTGGGTGAGTGAGTGTAAGTGTGAACCACCAGGTGGTATTCATGTAATTAGTAGACGGGGTGTATCAGGGAGATAAGATGTTTTCTAATGGTAGTGTTGAAGGTGATGAATGTTCCTGCAGTTCTAGAGTATTCAGGGAGGGTGTTCCAGATTTTAGGGCCTTTGACATACATTGATTTTTTGTAAAGGTTTAGTCGGACATGGGGAATGTCATAGAGATGTTTGTGTCTGGTGTTATGCCTGTGGGTTCTGTCTCAACTATCAAGAAAGCGTTTTAGGTCAAGGTTAATATTGGAATTTAAGGTCCTGTAGATGTAGATTGCACAGTAGTAAGTGTGGATGTTCTGAACAGGGAGTAAGTTTAGATCTATGAAGAGTAGGGGGGGGGGTGTTGCCAGGGATGGGATTTAGTGATTATTCTTACTGCGGCTTTTTGTTGGGTTATTATTGGCTTTATGTGAGTTGCTGCAGTTGATCCCCAAGCACAAATAGCATAGGTGAGGTATGGATAAATGAGTAGTATAGTGTGAGAAGGGCATTTTGCGGCACGTAGTATCGTATCTTGGAGAGGATCCCAACCGTTTTGGATACTTTTTTGGTTATGTGTTTTATATGGGTGCTGAAATTCAGGTTGTTGTCGAGGTATAGGCCTAGGAATTTGCCCTCATTATGTCTGGCAATTAGAGTGTTGTCGATCTTAATGTTAATTTGCGCAACTCCTGCTCTGCTACCAAACATAATATAGTAGGTTTTGTCAATGTTAAGCGTAAGTTTATTGGCTGTCATCCAAGTCGATATTTTGAGCAGCTCCTCGTTAACAATGGTGTTGAGGGTGGCAAGATTAGGGTGAGAGATAACATAAGTCGTGTCGTCAGCAAAGAGAATGGCGGAGATAGAGAACAAGGAAAGCACAACATACATTTGTTAGCCTGGTGGAGAGTCTTGTCTGCCTGGACAATATTGGTGGAGTTTCCGCACTCCTTGCAGGTGACGTGGGACTGGTTGTGTGCCGGCTGGGGCAATGGAGACTTGCAGGTGTGGCACTGGATGACCCTCTTGTTAACCATGTTGTTATACACAGGCCAGTCCCCGCGGCATGCCTCGCAGTTACACCTACACCAGGCAGGAGAAACAAGATGTCAGTATATGTTTGCTCTATATACTCTGAACACCATACCTGTTCTCAAGCCATGGTGAATGTGTTTCCTTTAATTGGTTGGAAGACGGCCGGTGTGTTAAAAAAATGGATAGGGGGGCATGTGTAAATATTTTGAATCAGGTAATCAATTAATGGCTAAATGGTTGTTTTTTTTCGATGAGTGACTGACCTGAACCAGTAGCGAGAGAGGAGCTTCCTTTGTCTCTCCTGACGAGGGTGATGAGTGAAGATGGGACCATAGTTCTCAGCTACCACGTCCCCAGCTTGCAATGGTCGAAGACTCACAATCACCATCTTGTCTCCCTCGAAGTATCTGATCACGAGTTAAAACAACAACTTTACCAATGTGGCGGCCAGCAGCAACAGCCTGGTTGACCAGGCATGCTCCAGACAAGCCTAGCCCAGGGAGGAGAAAAATATGGAAAACCCAGTATGGCCTTCTTTATTCCGTTAACTCATGTTACATAAATTTTAGTTTACCTTTTCTGAATGGCTTCAGTATGTAATGACTGAGTTGCTACCATATTGTATTAGAATAATATACGTATATTGATGTTTATGTGTTGATAAAGCCCAGTGTGTGGGCGAAACGATGTCAATAAAGGCTCTCATTATCCTGCACTGTGTGTCAGAAAAGTCTCATTTGTTTTGTTGGAAGTGCAAGGAGAAAACTGTAGGGTAACATGAAGAAATAGATGTGTATGTGATAATGGTCTACTCTACCGACAGGTTGATAGTAAGACACATGTGCAACAGTTAAGTATCTTTATTCCAGAACGTTTCACCTACACCGCAGGCTTCTTCAGTCGAATACAGAGGAGGCAGCAGGAGCAGTAGAGATGTAAAGACGATGTAATCAGTCCATCACCATTGAAGACGTAGTTTTGAGGTGGTCAGTCCCTCAGCTTCCAGGCTGAGGGATTGACCACCTCAAAACTACGTCGATGCTAATGGATTGATTACCTCGTCTTTGTAGCTCTACTCCTTCTGCTGCCTCCTCTGTATTCGACTGAAAAAGCCTACGGTGTAGGTGAAACGTTTTGGAATAAGATATGTACCTAACTGTTGCACATATGTCTAGCTTTGCAAGAAGTATACGTACCTAGTGACGGCGGGGAAGCAGGAGTGGTTGCAATAAGAGATGGTGGGGTAGACAGCCAGACCTAGAAAAACGCTTTTGGTTTTCTTGAAGTTGATCTTCCCACTCGCGAAGGCCATCCCACTCAGCTGCCAGAGTGGGAGACACACCCACGCACGTTAGAGACACCATAGTTTTTGACTCATTTGGAGTTATGATGTATACTAAACGTGTGTGTGTGTGACCTACAACACTGAGAGTGGTGGAGGCTTGATCTCCCACCCGCTAATAGCAAGTTTAATATCTTTATTATGCACACGATACCCATCCTATGGGTGGGAGTCAAAGGATTACAGAGGTACATAATGGGTCCAGGGACTGGGCCCCAAAGTTTTGATAGCTGAACAAGGTACAAAGGTAATGAACTCCAGGTAGATATGGTCACAATCATGACCAATTTAGAAGGTAATGAACTCCAGGTAGATATGGTCACAATCATGACCAAGTTAGAAGGTAATTAACTTCAGGTAGATCTAGTCACAATCATGACCAAGTTAGAAGGTAATGAACTTCAGGTAGATCTGGTCACAATCATGACCAAGTTACTAGGCAATAAACTCCCCCTGATAGTGAGGCTAACAGTGAAGTGTTATATGGTGATATGATCACATTCTAACACCAAGGATATGATCGTATGATCATATCTTCGGTATCAGCTTCGTCAAGTTATTACTTGATGCAATAATTACAACCGATCGACAACAGATGCAAAATAACCAGAGGATAAAGGAGCTGAATGACAGTTCTAGACCTTTCTTGTTGCATTGTCAAAAGATTTAAGCAGTGGAATAGAAATGGAGATCATCCCGGGTATGTATATGAAGATATCCTACACAGGAAGAGAATGATTTCTTGTATAGCTAACATACATGTATGTATTACTGTAACATTCCTGTACCTATTACTGTGATCTGATCCTCACTTTAATGTTAATGTAAATAACTTAGTTTATCTTATTCTTTTCACATAGTTGAGTCACTTAGCATATTTTAACTGTTAAGGTTTCAGTAATAAGATATTACAAGAACCCCAATGGAAATGTCACTTTATCTGACTTTTTGGAGGTTTATCCTAGGTAATCTGCACATATGCTGCTATGTATGATAATTTATGTAACTATTTATGTGTACCTGTACCTGAATAAACTTACTGAGAGAGCCATCATAAGTTCACTCAGTCTGTCTAGCCGTCAGATGCCAAAGGATCAATTAGGTATTTTTAAAAGGAACAGAAAAAGACAGCCAGCCCATAAGCAATGTAGGTGAGGTAATAAACGAGAGAATATCTCCTTAATGGTATGTCAAGATTCAAGATAGACTCATCGAACCTCTTGATAAAACACTACATAGGGCTATTTAAATATGCTATATGTATTCAACAGCTGAGGTAAATGGCTTCTCTAGGGGAATGGATGAATTCCCTACTATGTTTGTTAACTGCTCATTACTCTGTAATTTGTCTATGATTGTAATCATGTCATAACGTGTTTATCATTCATTACCTTTGTAACTTGGTCATGATTATGACCAGATCTAGTTCATAACCTCTGTAACTTGCTCAGCTATCAAAACTTTGGAGTCCAGTCCCTGGACCAATTATGTACCTCTGTAATCTTTTGACTACCGCCCATAGGATGGGTATGGGGTGCATAATAAACATATTAAACTAACAGGGTACCTAACGACCATGCCAACCCAATGAAAATAAGTTACTTTGATTTTTTTATGGTTATTCTAGGTTATTTACACTATGTGATAAGTGTACTTATATGTAGCTGTGCATCAGTAAACTTACTTACCTGGAGTATGCCTGGAGGGTATTTCGGGGTCGACGCCTCCACGGCCCGGTCCATAGCCAGGCCTCACGGTGGATCAGGGCCTGATCAATCAGGTTGTTACTGCTGGCAGCACGTAAACAAACGTACGGACGACAGCCCGGTTGGTCAGGAACCGACTTTAGGTGCCTGAAGACAGCTAGGGGTCTATTGGTAATCCCCCTTACGTATGCTGGGAGGCAACTGAACAATCTTGGGCCCCTGACACTGTGTTCTTTTAGCGTACTCATGGCGCCCCTGCTTTTCACTAGGGAGGGAATGTTGCATCGTCTGCCTAGTCTTTTGCTTTCGTAGGAGTATACTTGGAGAGGGTTCCGGGGGTCAATGCTTCCCCCGGCCCGGTCTGGGAGTGATTTCCGTGTGTAGATTTAGGATTAGTCCCTCTAAGATTTGCCATGTGTATATTATCATGTATCTTTTTCGCCTGCATTCCAGGGAGTACTGGTCAAGGGACTTCAATCAATCCACCTCTGACTGTACTCTGTTTACTATTAATCTTTGTGTTCTAATTATCAGGAAGTTATAGATCCATCTACCCACTTTTCCTTTATTCTTTTATCACGTATTTTGTGTGCTGTCACACCATGACCGCACTTGTCGAAGGCTTTCGCAAAGTCTGTGTATACTACATCTCCATTTTGTTTCAGTGCATCCAAGATCATGTAAGTGGTCCAATAGTTGTGAGAGGCAGGAGCGACCTGCTCTAAACCCATGCTGCCCTGAGTTGTGCAACTGTTGGGTATCCAAGTGGGAATTGTAATTCTTTACAATTCCTTTACTCCCACCTTTGTGGAGTGGGGTTATATCCGTTATATTTAGTGATTGTGGGATGAGCCCTGTGTCTATGCTCCCTGTCTAAGTGATGCTAAGTGTGTATAGAGTGCGAATATTTAGTATAAGTGTAGACAGAGAGGCAACGATATAAAGTGATATAAGCATATCATTCTCCAAATGGATCTCAGCCTACATAAACACATACACAAGGATAGTGGCATCAGACCTTTAAGTGGTATATTTAACGCTGGCGACCGTCCACCTAAACACAGCATATCAGACAAAAAAAATAATAATAATAATAATAATATAATAATAATAATAATAAAATTCATATATCAAACAATAAAAAAAAAAAGGGGCACAATACCGTGACTGAACGATACACAAAAACCCCACATAAAAGAGGAAGTTTTCGACGACGTTTCGGCCAAATTTGGCCATTTACAGTCACACTAACCAGAAACGTCGTCAAAATTCTCTCTTTTATGTGCGGTTATTTTGTCTATCTACAAAATTTTTTAAACAAGATAGTATACGATCCTGAATATAGCTTCAAACCTTCCAATAGCCCTGTTTAATTGATAAATTGCTGTTTTGACGAAACGTCTTCAGAAAAGAGTACCAGGGGCTGCACCCGTCCCTTACGATCAAAAATGACTGACATACCCTACATTTAAAAATGGGCCTGTAGGTTCGCAAAATGAGGCGGCCTAGTCCTGCTTCAAACACCCTTTCAAGGACCCGTGGGGAAAAATTAATGTAAAACCCCCCCAGTGGACTGTAGCTTGGCGCTTACTTTCGGATTTATGATAAAGAAATGAGATAATTAAAAACATGGAATATAAAGTGGGTTTTATAAAACATTTGATGAACAGAAGTCACATGCAGTGTATAAATAATTAAACCCAAATTGAAAAGACTTGTGTATATCGGCGTTTTGGTAATGAAGAATTTTTGAAACTGGCATGGTTTATTCATTTTGGCAGTCACAAAGTTAATTCACAACTAATGAGCTAGAAATAGGAATTCAAAAACAATGAATTGTGATGGTTTATGTTTTGACCAAAACGTTGCCCAAGCATTAGTTCCAACTCATGGATTACTTGTTAATGAAATGTCAACTAAAACTGCGATCAGTCGGGATCGAAAGGGAATTTAACCAACTTCTTGGGTTTTTCCCGGCTAATCGTGTATAGTTATTTGCTTAAAACTACACTTGTTTTGTATTGCACTCAAACCCCCTTTTCCTCTAAAAACAACATGTAAGGCACCTTCTCATCCCATTTGCCGAAAAAGTTGGCTCTCGAGCCCTGACAAAAAATTGCCAGTAAGGGTCGCTGAAAAAAGTCTTGGGTGAGCGACTCCTTTCCAGGGCTACCAGATGGTAAAGCTGAGGAGTCGTTTGGGATTTTGGGGCAGGATGCTGACGGCATATATGGTTGATTCAGGCGTGTTGCAGCGCAACACCATCGGGACAACGTAATTGCCAACCGCAATTCTCCATGGAAAAATTTTTAAAACAAAAGAGGGATATTGCGTCGTTTATGACTACGTTTCGCCCCCACATGGGCTTTTTCAGTGGGCGAAACGTAGACAATAAAGGATCTCATTACACTGCATTTGTGTTTAATTTTTTCATCGTATCGGTATTTTATACCTTTTATCGCCATCGCAATTCCCCCTATACAATAACACTAAAAAATACTGTAATTCCTACAATAGGAAATTAAGTAAACTCTTAGTAGATACACATTGAGAAATATATGCTTCTAAGTTTACATAAATAGATATACCTCATGATATGCATACACGGTGTATATACACCGAGAGCACATGATGGCGTATATATACTGAGAAATATACATCACAGTCTGTATATATCCTTAGACAAAAGAGGGTCCCACCCTATTAAAATTGTGATAGTCATGAGAAAGCATTAAGAACGTAGGGATCATAGAGGAACCAACCTTCTTGAAGTATGGAAGACCGTGTTGTGTAATGACCCTGAGAGCGAGGTAGCAGTTAAGAGAGACCCCAGACCCCTTCAGGAGGTCGAGAAATTTGCATTCCCAACGGTGGTAGGTAGCCAGGGCCAGGTCCCGGCACCTGGGGCTGCAGAAGGCTACCCCGGAGCACCAAGGGCATGGTACTGGTGCCACCAGCCTGTAGCGCACAAAAAATGTTAATCTCTTTTGTATATTAACGTGTGTTTTACTCGTCAACAAATACACTATCTGGATCTCTTCCTCAATAGAAACAAATCACTTTGACTTTCCTGGGCTATCCTAGGTAATTTCTACTATGTATGATAATTTTAATTCGTGTACTTAAGTAAACCTACTTCCTCTCTCTAAACCTTCATTAATTTCCCTTTGGAGAATTGGAAAGTGTAAATGTTACTAAATATTAAGTAGTAGGTGTGGTAATGACTGTAGGGACAAAAATATTAGACGGTGATGTAGCATTCAATGGTCAGTGTATAGTATTATCATAACCATAATTTTTAAAGAGGGTGGACCAGTAAACCAGCGGAAGGCCTCGGTTAGATGACCAAAAGCTCCAGTTGAGGGTCATCATGTGACTAAGACCTGCGTCAGGAAACACTTGTTCTGTTTCCTGATAAACCTTACCTAACCTAACCTTTTATCTGACAATCTGTTGGAAAAACAACAGATTGTTAGGTAAAAGGACACAGGTGCAACTAATGCTACATTTTATTGTGGAAACATCTGGGTATCTTTATTTATAGACGTTTCGCCATCCAGTGGCTTTATCAATACAAGGACATAATGTGAAGAATGTCGAGCTGTATACAAAAGATGTAATCAGTCCTTCAGGCTTGGAGTTGGTGAAGAGCACCGTAGCCTTGAAGATACCCAGATGTTGCACAAGTATCTAATTTTTCATCATAATACACTTACTGGGAACAGCAGTGAAGATAGCAAGAACAGCCATTGCAAAATTACTCCCTTTAAGACATTTTTAACCTCAGGGAAATAAACTGGGACCTCCAAGGAGGACCAGCAGTGTAATTTTATGTTAGTAGTTTAATGTGTTTATTATGCACCCCATACTCATCCTGTGGGCAGTGTAGAAACCTGTAATGTCAACATCCATTTTTCAAGGTTTCTTGACGGTGGAGAAGAGCTCTTGATTTCAAAGAATTGGAGCTACGCTCCCTTTCCTTGGGATCAAATCAGTATCTCTCATTAGCCAAGCAGTGTACGACCTTTACGGGTTTAACGCTTCATAATAAAAAAATCAATAATCATAATTATACAGAGATTGAAAGAGATACAAAATCACTTTGTTGAAAAGGGTCATTAGAAACGGGATAAACTACCACGCCATTGAAAAGAAAAGGTCACCGTGATTGCCATACATAGAAGACACTGAATTACAGGCTGACATTATATACTCTAGAGAGCAGTGATGTACCTGTGGTAGCAGTGAATGCAGTGTGAACCACACTTGTCGTCCATAAGCACTGCAGAGTAGGGTCGTTCAGCTATCAGCACCTGACCAGCAGGTATTGGACCCCTTGCTACCAGGTACCGGCCTGTGTGTGTCAATATTTTCAACATTAATCATTTGTATAGTCCAGTATTTATGTCATAAACCATTTATATCATCCAGTATTTGCAATTATAAACCATTTAAAAAATAAAACAACGCTTGTTTTTGGTTGTAAATGGTATGGTGATGCCGACTTTTATGTACCTGGCAGGACATTTATTAAGGGGAACGTTTCGCCGCGAGTGACCTCATCAGATCACTCGTGGCGAAACGTTTTCTTTAAAAAAATGTGCCGCACTGTACATGAGTGTCCATGTGGAAAAAGACACGTTCAGTTCAGGACATTTATCAGAGGAAATGTTTCGCCACGAGTGGTTTCTTTATTCCTGAAGAAGCCATTCGTGGCACAACGTTACCTTTAATAAATGCCCACAGGATGCGTATGGGGTGCATAATCAAAATATTAAACAAACTTAATAATGTCTTTCCACATCTTGTCGGTATCGTCACATCATTTTCCCCAAGTGTATAAGTATCCACAAGCTCGTTATTTACATCTAAAAAGTTTGGGATGAGGACTTGTATGATCCTTGTGGGTTTAGCACTTACTTCTGATTGTAACAATAATTAATAACCGGGAGAAACAGACCTTCATCTTTAGAAGTGTTGAGAGTGAGAGCAGAGGAAGCGTTGGGAAGCACCTTACTGCTACCTTGGAACAGTATAGCACTGGTGGTCTTGCTGGGTGCTGGGTCCCCTGGAAGTATTACCAATAGAAAAGTTATGTCACTGGCCTAATTAATGTGTGCATATATAACTGTGACCAGATATAAACATGTAAATAGTTCATTACCACTGTAATTTGTCCAGCTATCAAAACTTTGTGGTCCAGTCCCTGACCCATTATGTATCTCTGTAATGTTGAGGTACAGTCTCTGGACCCATTATGTATCTCTGTAATGTTGAGGTACAGTCCCTGGACCCATTATGTATCTCTGTAATGTTGAGGTACAGTCTCTGGACCCATTATGTACCTCTGTAATGTTGAGGTACAGTCCCTGGACACATTATGTGACTGTAATGTTGAGGTACAGTCCCTAGACCCATTATGTGACTGCAATGTTGATGTACACTCCCTGGATCCATTATGTGACCCATTAAGTACCTCTGTAATCTTTTTGACTACCGCCTACAGGATGGGTATGGGGTGCATAATAAAGATGTTAAACACTGAACACTCCGCGTCTTTATACACTGTTATTGTATAATTGTGGAAATAAGATACAATGTGTATTTATTCTCCTCTGTGTTTGAAGATCTGATGAATGAGACGCTTGTGCAACATTTGGGTGTCTTTATTGTGATAATATTGAGATAATCAGTCCATTCATCAACCTGTCGGTTTTCTAAACCATTTATATAATAAATGATTGAAGAAGCCTAATGTGTAGGTGAATAGTTCAACAATAAAGACACTAATCTACTTTCATTATGCATTATTAGTGTCTCCTAACTTTTTCACCTGACTTGATTTCTGGCTTACTTCAATTTGCTCTCGGAGAGAGAGAGAGAGAGAGAGAGTAAAGCTCTTAGCACCAACCTGCATCAGTCTTGCCTTGGCAGCTGTGTATTTTGATGCTAAGATCTTTCTTCCATGACTCCAGCTTCTTCTTGTCGAGACCTGAAGTGGCGAGGGCATGAGCAGCAGCAGTGAAGGCAAGGAGAGCACTGTTATACTGACCCAGCTGCAGCTGACACTGTCCCCTGCGGTCCAGCACCTGCAGAACAAGTCTTAGTTTGTAATAATGTTGGTAGAATTACCGACAATATGTAAAGTAAAAGGACACAAGTGCGACTAATGTGACATTTTATTGTGGCAACGTTTCGCTCTCCAGGAGCTTTATCAAGCCGATACCCTCTGTGTCCATATACTGTTTGTATAGGCTTGACAAAGCTCCTGGAGAGCGAAACGTTGCCACAATAAAATGTCACATTAGTTGCACTTGTGTCCTTTTACTTTACAAGTCTTAGTTTAATATGATTATTTTGTACCCCATAGCCATCCTGTGCGAAGAGAATATTAGGTTTTACCTGGAGTTTACCCATGGTATACATGGTAATTGGTGTATTTGTATAATTACCTATTTGAGTTAACCCAATTTATGAAATGATAAATAGTCATATCTGATTTTCTCTGTGTCTATTACGCTACATGAGTGATATAAGCCTACCTTGTACATGAGGTTGGGTGGGTAGCCTGCTTGAATGGCTAGGTCGATGTCTGTGAGGCAGAGATGGTACTCGTCCATGTGGTAGAGTACGGCAGATCTGTTGGCCAGGGCCAGGGCCAAGCTCTTCCCTGCAGACAACACTATATATCAACACCATCACTACCAACACCACACATCACAGAGAGATGTTAGGAAGTACTTCTTTAGTCATAGAGTTGTCAGGAAGTGGAATAGTCTGGCAAGTAATGTAGTAGAGGCAGGAACTATACACAGTTTTAAGACGAGGTATGATAAAACTCATGGAGCAGGAAGAGGACCTAGTAGCGACCAGTGAAAAAGCGGGGTCAGGAGCTATGTATCGACCCCTGCAACCACAAATAGATGAGTACAAATAGGTGAGTACACCTCAACACCACATCTGACCACCCCACTACTTCGCCACCACTAAATATCACCTACACCACCACTTCTCTCATAGTATAAACCGATTTACGTGGCTTTCAGAGAATATTTCTATTAATAATCCTCCGGATTAATATCCCTAATAATGTATGATGAGGCAAAGAATAAAGATACCCAAAATACAGCCCAAAACATCTCATTTATCAACTTCCCGGCTTTCTAAAACCATTGATACAAACTAATAATGTCTTACCCTCGTCATGAGGAGCTCTGACGACGGCCTGGGAGTACAACACCAGTGCCTGTCCATTCTTCTTCTCCTGGAAGGCCTTGTTACCCTCCTCTCTGCGGCACTCTGACACTTCTCTACTCTTCTGCCTGTAGAAGCTCTGAACCTTCAGTGTGTGGATAGGCTGTGAGGGCAATACGCTAAGACTCAGTAATTTGTATATACTTGTATTTTTTCTTTCATATAACTTGATAATTTGATTTTCTTAAGACAATATGTTTTTGCATATTTATATAACAATTATGGAAATTTTTCTAGGGTGATTACCTGTACGTACCTCAACATTACATGCATACGAGTAATCTCATTGGGAGACAACAACTATATTGTTTACCGTAGTCACCCCGTGTAGACATGTGAGAAAACTTAACCACCTCTGGTCACTGCAGGTGGCCCCCTCGACCCTCACAATCTTATCCATATCTATCCAAGACCAGTATAAATTGGATAGCACCCACAAGCACGGCGCTACTAATTAATTGTGGACTGTATAGATTATATTAGTTTAACTGAATAAAGGGCGGGGGGGTAGGTTACACATGGATATATCCATCAAAGAAAAACATTTGTATATAATCCCACCACTTACCAGATATACTCTGGTGGTCACTTGATGTAGCTGGATCACCCATAACCTATCCATTTACAACATACCTAACTGGCCAGTATCAGTCTGCTATAACTAGAAGGGTTACTTAACTGTGGGTGATTGATACTCCTTATTTCCTCCATTCACCATCTCATTTCAATGTCCTGCTACACCGACACGGTTCTTATTCCAGCAGGACGAGGTATCCGTTGGTTTGTCCCGGTTTAGAAGTCGTGACTCCATAAAACTTCACTATCCTCGGGAAGGGAACAACGCGGTCTAATGTGTTCACTCGGAGCAAGGCGACTTATTTCACTTCACGCATTCTCTTAACTTAGTGTTATTATCATTAATTACATTACAATTCACAAGATGATTTAATGTCTCATAATTTTTATATACATTAGAGGCCACTCCATTAAGATCTGAGACCGCTGAGTGAGGATTAACTCACGGGTAATTTTCCCTGGACACATTCCATGGCGGTGCACCCGTCACCCCGGTCCTACCATTATTCACTAATATTACCACTTATTACAGTGGTGCCGTCAATCACGTTCCCTCACTCTTCACCAGGAACAGTCACGACACTTCCTATTATGAAGTGAGGCCCATATTAATCCTTAGGCCGCTGTGAACGCCAATTTCCTGGTCCCATGTTTTCACAGCCTCTTAAACTGGACAAGCACCTAAAGTCGGTTCCTGACCAGCCGGGCTGTGGCTCGTACGTTGGTTTGCGTGCAGCCAGCAGTAACAGCCTGGTTGATCATGCTCTGATCCACCAGGAGGCCTGGTCACAGACCGGGCCGCGGGGGCGTTGACCCCCGGAACTCTCTCCAGGTAAACTCCAGGTAAACTCATTCAAAACACTGCCGCCTCCCCATGCCCCGAGTCGACCTGTCTCCCCCGCACATCCGCGCAGGCGCAGGGCGAACCCGGTTGTTTCTATTCAAAATACAATTTAGAACAGTAATGCATTAATCATGTATATTTACATTATAAATAATATATACAGTATAAATATGGAATTTATTTTCAACCTACAATAAATAATTCAACTAATAATAAATCTATTTAAGGACAGGAAAGTCGCCGGGCCGTGGTCATATAATCTCGAAGTTCTTGACAAGATATGTCAACCATAGGGAAAAATACTACTGTGAAAAATGACCAAAAGAAACAGGAGCGCTGTCAGGATTTATACACATCTTCTGAGGAACTAGTCATGCAGAGAAAACGCATATGTTCCTAGAACGCATAGTTCATGTGAGAGGAATATCATACTCTTCCCCGAAGATTGTTGTTGGAACATTAAGATTATCTTGGTACAGGGTATCACGTAAGTACTTATTATACATAATAATATATACAAAATAACACAAGGGGGTTTGAATGATAGCTATGGTGCCCGGCCTGATGGCTAAAGCTCCCGCTTCACCACGAGGGCCCGGGTTCGATCCCGGGGGTGGAAACATTTCACACGTTTTCCTTACACCTGTTTTCCTGTTCACCTACAGCAAATAGGTCCTGGGTTTAGTCGACTGGTGTGGGTCGCATCTGGGGACAAGTTAAGGACCCAATGGGAAATAAGTTAGACAGTCCTCGATGACGCACTGACTTTCTTGGGTTATCCTGGGTGGCTAACCCTCCGGGGTTAAAAATCCGAACGAAATCTTATCTTATCTTATAGGCCTTTTGTGTTGCAATCAACACATCATCAGGAGCTTGCACTGTTGCAGAAAGAGCTGATCCCATAAAAATATTTTCATGGATTTCCTGCTCTATTTCTGCAACACTGAAAGCTCCTGATGACGTGTTGATTGCAACACTAAAGGCCTAAAGATGCCATTCAACTCCCCCTGTAATTATTTTTCCTCTTGTGTTGCTTGCTCACAATTATTGCTGAGCAGCACATATGTAAATTACCTAGGATAACCCCCCCCCCAAAAAAAAATTCAGGGTGACTTATTTCCATGGGGGAACTCAGGTGGAAAAGATAGGTACACTACTCCTATATAGAAACTATGCATTGTACCAAAAGAAAACTAATCACATTGCTAAATTTACGAACTGGAATGCAGTTACTTAGCCTTACCTGGAGTTTACCTGGAGAGAGTTCCGGGGGTTAACGCCCCCGCGGCCCGGTCTGTGACCAGGCCTCCTGGTGGATCAGAGCCAGATCAACCAGGCTGTTACTGCTGGCTGCACGCAAACCAACGTACGAGCCACAGCCCGACTGGTCAGGAACCGACTTTAGGTGCTTGTCCAGTGCCAGCTTGAAGACTGCCAGGGGTCTGTTGGTAATCCCCCTTATGTATGCTGGGAGGCAGTTGAACAGTCTCGGGCCCCTGACACTTATTGTATGGTCTCTTAACGTGCTAGTGACACCCCTGCTTTTCATTGGGGGGATGGTTGCATCGTCTGCCAAGTCTTTTGCTTTCGTAGTGAGTGATTTTCGTGTGCAAGTTCGGTACTAGTCCCTCTAGGATTTTCCAGATGTATATAATCATGTATCTCTCCCGCCTGCATTCCAGGGAATACAGGTTCAGGAACCTCAAGCGCTCCCAGTAATTGAGGTGTTTTATCGCCGTTATGCGCGCTGTGAAGGTTCTCTGGACATTTTCTAGGTCAGCAATTTCACCTGCCTTGAAAGGTGCTGTTAGTGTGCAGCAATATTCCAGCCTAGATAGAACAAGTGACCTGAAGAGTGTCATCATGGGCTTAGCATCCCTAGTTTTGAAGGTTCTCATTATCCATCCTGTCATTTTTCTAGCAGCTGCGATTGATACAATGTTATGGTCCTTGAAGGTGAGATCCTCAGACATGATCACTCCCAGGTCTTTGACGTTGGTGTTTCGCTCTATTTTGTGGCCAGAATTTGTTTTGTACTCTGATGAAGATTTTATTTCCAATATAGTTTTGAATTATCTTAATCTGCCCGAAATGCCTAGTCATGCTAGGTGTGATAGTGACCCTCACTGTAATTAGTGTTTTATAATATGTAAACCACACAATATCCTATATGTAAACCCTGCATTGTAATCTTTATAGGGAATAAACTTGATTTGATTTGATTTGATTTGAGACGTTTTTGCCAGTAGAACAGGCGAAACTGAAGAAGATTTTTCTATGGTCGAAGCATAAGGACATAAGAAAGAAGGAACACTGCAGCAGGCCTACTGGCCCACGCGAGGCAGGTCCAAGTCTCCTACCGGCTTAAGCCAATGCCCCAATCTAGTCAGGTGAGGTCACATTCACCTAAAGAAAGAGCACGGCATCTGACTTAGTAGCACAAGCTAGTCAGGTCCAACTCACACCCACCCACACCCACTCATGTATTTATCTAACCTATTTTTAAAACTACACAACTTTTTAGCTTCTATAACTGTTTCTCTCTGTAAATGCTCTTTTTCTGTTCCACTTGTTCACTTTGTGCCATTAGTTACCAACGACAATGCTCACGCCTTTTTATTGTTAATATTTTTTATTGTAGTACTTTTTTCATTTTTGTAGTTGGTAACATCTTCCTACAGCCTGGTTGATCAGGCCCTGATCCACCATGTGGCCTGGTCACAGACCGGGCCGCGGGGGCGTTGACCCCCGGAACTCTCTCCAGGTAAACTCCAGGTAACCTGGAGAGGAGGAAGTTACCAGCTACAAAAATGAAAAAAGTATTATAATCAAAAAATATTAACAGAATAGAACAGAACAGAATAGAAACAGAATAGAACATTACATGGAGCTGAAGATCGTATAAGACAACTGCGACACACCTTGACGCCCCATGTTTTAAGGAGACGATCTTCATCACTCTTGAGTTGACCAAACTTGTCGAGGAAATCTTGCGAGACTTGAGCATCAATTTGCTCCATGTAATGATTGAAGAAACCTTCTTTAGGGCTGTAAAGTGTCACGTCAGAACACAACTTGGTCAGGTACAGCTCCAGGTCTTCTTCACTGCTGCTCTCCCCAGGTCTACCACACCTGCAGTACCAATGTACATTGTATTCAAGGTTAGTTTAGTTAATTATCTTTATTATGCACCCCATGCCTATCCTGTGGGAGGTAGTCAGAAGATTACAGAGGTACATAATGGATCCAGGGACTGGGCCCCAAAGTTTTGATAGCTGAACAATGTACAAAGGTAATGAACTCCAGGTAGATCTGGTCACAATCAAAGGAAAGCAGTAAATTCGCAAGGTTCATAATATCCTTAATAAGCACCCCATAGCCATCCTGTGGGAGGGAGTCAAAAGATTATAGAGGTACATAATGGGTCCAGGGACTGGGGCAGCAAAGTTTTCAAAGCTGAACAAGTTACACTGGTAATGAGCTATTTACATATAATCAGGCTTAATTCAAGAAAAAGGGGAGTGGCTGTAATTCCTTGTATCAAAAGCCCTTCACAAGCATCAAGGTACCACCACCTCGTCTTTGAAAGAGCGAGCATCGTAGATTATCGTTTTTATTTAGGCACATGTGTACATACATACGATTATCATACGTAGTGTAAATTATCCAGGATAACCCAAAAAAGTCAAGTGACTTACTTCCACTGGGGGTCTTTGTCATATTACTGCAGATTATATTTATAGGTAAGCGTTAAACCTGTAGGGCTCCTAGAGAATGGGAGGTAATGAAGTCAGACGCTAGAGAAAGGGTAGCTCCCATGGTGCACAATAAAGATATTAACTAAACCATTAATAAAGAAATGACTGACCTGTCCATGGTGGTGTGAAATACAACTAAATATCCCGGAGAAGAATGAAGATGAATGCAATCTCTTGGACTCCTTACCCTTGACTGAGGTAACCGAGGGGTGCCTAGTGTGTCTATTACAAGGTACACGTGCTTCTGGCACTCTGAACCAAACACTAAAAGACAATACCTTCACGAAGTCTCAATATTTCAAGTAATACATGTTGATTTTTCACAGTATATTACGTTTACATAGCTTATGGTAATAGCTACCAAGTGCATGGCTTATAATAACACAACTATTCTGGCTCTTAGTAGATTAACTTTACTGATCCTCGACACAAATTTAGGAGTGTATCTGACGAAAGTTTATGAGAATTTCACTACGAGTAGAGAAATTTTACCAGCTAAAGCTATTTTTGTTTTTAGTCACCCAACGCTTTTCAAGGCTTTTAGTTATATTATGTTATTTAACTAATAACAGTGGCTTCTCTTACATACTTACTTGATATGACAAATAATTCAGTGGTAGTTCTTGCAATCCCAACATAATTCAGAGAATTGGGGACAAAAATCTAAGGGGTTAAATTTACGGGGGTGACACTGGTAATTTATTTTTTAATTCTTAGCTAGATTATTAGAGCATGCTATTAATATTATTAATGAGGGAGCACTAAAATAGTTGGGGTTATGCAGCGCCTGGGAAATGGTATGCAAAATGAGGCTAGTTTCAAGTCATATAATCAAGAGCCCCTGGAATAGTACTCACCTTTTTGTGGTTGCAGGGGTCGAGTCACAGCTTCTGGCTCCGAGTGATTAATTTAAACTCGGTGTATATACACTGATATACACCCTTTGCAGTGTATATATGGATACACACCTGTGTACGAATATACACCGATGTATACCCTTCAGTGTATAGACACACACCTCTCTGTATATACACTTATGTATACCTTTCAGTGTATACACACCTCCCAAGTGTATATACACTGATGTACTCAGCTATTTGTGGTTGCAGGGGTTCATTTATAGCTCCTGGCCCTGCCTCTTCACTGATCGCTACTGGGTCTTCTCCCTACTCCATGGGCTTTATCATACCTCGTCTTCAAACTATGTATGGTTCCCACCTCCACTATGTCACTTGCCAGACTATTCCACTGCCTGACAACTCTATGACTAAAGAAATATTTCCTAACATCTCTTTGATTCATCAGAGTCCTCAACTTCCAATTGTGACCCCTTGTTTCTGTGTCCCATCTCTGGGACACAGAGGACGTAAATATGTTCAGATGGGTCTATAAGTGATAAGGTGAACCATAAAAATAAAGGGGGAAAAAGGTGGATGATGCATGATATAATCAAGTTTATCCATGGGGAAGTAGAAAAAAGAATCCTTCCTCCGTAAGCTTTGCATGTTGTAAAGGGTGACTAAAATGCTGTGAGCAAGCAGCTTGTAATCCCTTTTCCTGTATAAATTACTAAATGAAAAAGAAAAACTTTCTTCATTTTTGGGTCACCCTACCCTGGTCGGAGATGGCCAATGTGTTACAAAAAGGTAAGCACTGAACCCAAAGGGGTCACACAGCACTGACTATTGTGTAAAGCATGAAAACTTCAACAAAATTAGTCAATAACTTTGCTAGCTTACAGAAATTTTAAACATACCCTTCATACTGCAGGTTACATCTGAGGTAATTCTTATTTCACAGTAGAGTAAAACCATCAACAGTATATCCTTGGGTCATCAGTGAACTAGTACAGGGACCCACATGTACTGCACCTTTTTGGTGTTCCACATTTTTGTTGACTTTCAACTGAGCCATTGTTTCACCTGCTGGCAAAGATTGCTTGCAGGTGGAACATAATGAAAAATGGTTCAATATGAGGCCAACGAAAATGTGGGTCCCTCCTGTATGCAAATACAGTGGACCCCCGGTTTACGATCAGCTCCCAATGCGACCAATTATGTAAGTGTATTTATGTAAGTGCGTTTGTATGTGTATGTTTGGGGGTCTGAAATGGACTAATCTAATTCACAATATTCCTTATGGGAACAAATTCGGTCAGTACTAGCACCTGAACATACTTCTGGAATGAAATAATATCATAAACCGGGGGTCCACTGTACATATACAGCAAGAAATACTACAGGACATTAAAAACAAAATACTGAAGAAATAACAAAATTTATTTCTGATGTAATTAATAACATTAATCTGTTTTGTGACAGCAAAGGGTTTAAATATATACCATGGAATGAGAATGAATTTTGTACAATATCAATATGATGCATTAAATAAAATAAAAATTCATGCCATGAACATGGAAGGTTCTTCCTAATGCTGTACTGCATTTATAAACATCAACAACAGAGAGCATGTATTAAACACACTGAATTATTATTATTATAATCATAACTAATAAACACAGTGAAGTACCAATATTTGTATATGCATAATAAAACAAAAGAAGCACCAGTGCCAACATGGATAAATATTTTATGATGGCACTACAAATATGTATACCTGACTATGTATATGAATAATGTATGAATGTGATTTATTCAGACATATAAGAATAGTACAGTGGAACCTTGGTACTCAAACAGCTCCGTACTTGAACCATTCGGTGTTCAAACGCTTTGTTCGGTAAACAAATTACTCAGTAATCAACCGTTTGCTCGGCACTCAACCAAACAAACACGACCTGCCAGAACTTAACTGTAAACTATTTCGTGTTTCTTCGCATTTTTGGTGTTTTTTTATATTATTTGTATAAATAAGTCACCATGGGGCCTAAAAGGAATAGTGATAACAGCGAACCAAAAAGAAAATGGATTCGAACAGCCTGGTGGCTTGGTGGCTAAAGCTCCCGCTTCACACACAGAGGGCCCGGGTTCGATTCCCGGTGGGTGGAAACATTTCGACACATTTCCTTACACCTGTTGTCCTGTTCACCTAGGCAGCAAATAGGTACCTGGGTGTTAGTCGACTGGTGTGGGTCGCATCCTGGGGGACAAGATTAAGGACCCCAATGGAAATAAGTTAGACAGTCCTCGATGACGCACTGACTTTCTTGGGTTATCCTGGGTGGCTAACCCTCCGGGGTTAAAAATCCGAACGAAATCTTATCTTATCTTATCTTATCTTCTGGAACCAATTAAGTTCGAGTGTCGAGGTTCCACTGTAAATGCAAATCCATAATATACATATTTATTTGGTTTGGAAATAAATTCTAGCTTTCATGCAAATAATTCTACAGTTTTTAAACTAATATACTTTGTATATACAATATGTTTAAAGGAATGATATGAAAATATCACAGCAACGTTGAAAATGCTTCTCTGAGAAATTTAGGATATACAAGTTTATGACATTCGGAGGGAGTCAAGCAAGTTTTACATGAATTGAAAATAATCACAAATTGAGCAAGATATACCCTTTATTAGTGAACATAAAAAAATATTAAACACCAAGTGCACATTTTAAGACTTATATTCATTATATTTTGATAGCTATAAGCACACACATGAATGCCTAAAACCCTTCATATAAAGTAATATTCCAATCTAACTTTAATTCCCTAGAAATGTTAGAAACTTTGCCTATTCCCAAACATGATTAATATAGTCAATTTGAAGCAGGCTTACCATGAGCTGCATTAGTGTTTGGAAAAATACATCACTATATACACACACTAGGGCAAGAAAAACAATGTGAAACATTAATGATGTAGTTACATTTGAATTTCTTGTATAAACGCCACCAGCTTTATGTAGAAGATAAGTTCCAGGCCCACGACAGCTGTACTACACTTGAACAGACCATCAACACTTAATTCCACAAAATAAGAATCTTCAGTGTCATTTGTGAGCAAAATCAATTGAATATGGCAAATGTACATCACACACTGGGAATTTCTGATTGACACAGGACGTTGCATAATAGGAAATTCACGTAAAGCAAACTCACATAAAATGAGGAAATCCTGTACTAAGAACAGGATTTAATCTCAGTTTTCAAGCTAATTTTTCATTAGTGATAATAGGGAAGTACATTAGAAATGGAATACACCTTTAAATAACACTTAATTATGTTGTGATAAATACATGTATATTAAATCCATTTTCCATTAATAAAAATGCTTACCACTGGGCAACAACCACATCACCAAGATTCTACTTTTTAACATTGTACTTGTGCAGCACATAAAAAAGTATGAGAATAGTGCAGATAAACATTGCAATATTTATATAGAAATTCTGCAACATCTAAGATAATCCTAGTGGCTATGCATGAAGGGAATGACAACAGGTGTTTTACAGCAGGTGCTTTACAGCAGGTGTTTTACAGCAGGTGCTTTACAGCATGTGTTATACAACATGCTTACAAGAGTACTTCACTACTTCATTATATGCTTCACAACAATGTGCTCTATATGGTAAAAATATTTTATAAAAAATTATACACATTTCTCTTATAATACAATGATATTTAGGAGTTTTAACTTTAATGATTTAGTAGGTAAATGACTGGTAAAGAATTCATTCCTATTACGAAAGTACGTACAGTGTACTTTACAATTGTGGAAACTACTCGTTGTGATATGCTCCGAGAAGTTCTATTTGCTATTTTAATGACTTCAACAGCTTATTTCTAGCAATAATGATAGAATTACTGACAATATGTTAGGTAAATGGACACAGAGGCAACTAATGTCACATTTTATTGTGGCAAAGTTTCGCTCTTCAGAAGCTTTGCTAATCTATAATGATAACGGCTTAAAGTGCCTGGAGAGCGAAATGTTGCCACAATAAAATGTCACATTAGCTGCAGCTGTGTATGTTTACCTAACAGCTTAATTCTACTTGACTAGGACTACTAGCCTTTTCTATTAAAAATAAGAAAAAAATTACCATCACTGAATGCATTACAAAACCTGTTATAACAGTATACTATTGTACTGCCCAATTTTCTATAAGAGGAGTACTCTACATTAGTTAATATTGCCATGATATTTTTGGTAATGTGCATTAATACTGTATGTGTGTATATACAGTGCATGTTAATGTAATTATACTTTCCTTTGCTATTATTTTCAAAAGAAAAGTACAGTATGTATAAGTAACCTATATAATTTTAAGATGACTGATATTGAAATAGGGGATGGAATGCATGATGGAATCTAACTAGTACTGTCACCTCTGGTTGTTAAGCAAAAAAGACATGCCTTTTTCACAGCCTGGCTTCTTACTCATATGTTTCTTGACTTATGGAAAATCTATTTCATGATTTTATACTTGGAAGTCTCACAGTTCCCTAAAGTAACTGTGGCTGCCATTTCTTACAATTTTACAGTGCAATAACACAATCTGGAATAAAGTTTTTGCAGTTTAGACAACAGACAATAAAAAACTGACTAGCATTTTAGAAATGCCACTTAATTCTAGACTCTGGTCTCCTCCAATCACTACATGAATGAGGTTGACCTTGTCTATTATCCCTAATTAGGAAGGATGATTATTATTAAATATTACCAATCTCTTTCTTTCAACAAACCGGCCATATCCCACCGAGGCAGGGTGGCCCAAAAAGAAAAACAAAAGTTTCTCTTTTCAAATTTAGTAATTTAGTCGCCTCTTACAACACGCATGGCTTACGGAGGAAGAATTCTGTTCCACTTCCCCATGGAGATAAGAGGAAATAAACAAGAACAAGAACTAGAAAGAAAATAGCAGAAAACCCAGAGGGGTGTGTATATATATGCTTGTACATGTATGTGTAGTGTGACCTAAGTGTAAGTAGAAGTAGCAAGATGTACCTGAAATCTTGCATGTTCATGAGACAAAAAAAAAGACACCAGCAATCCTACCATCATGTAAAACAATTACAGGCTTTCGTTTTACACTCACTTGGCAGGACGGTAGTACCTCCCTGGGTGGTTGCTGTCTACCAACCTACTACCTAGAATTAAATAATTCTTCTTCTTCTTTCTTTCAACACACCGGCCGTATCCCACCGAGGCGGGGTGGCCCAAAAGGAAAAACGAAAGTTTCTCCTTTTACATTTAGTAATATATACAGGAGAAGAGGTTACTAGCTCCTTGCTCCCGGCATTTTAGTCGCCTCTTACAACACGCATGGCTTACGGAGGAAGAATTCTGTTCCACTTCCCCATGGAGGTAAGAGGAAATAAACAAGAACAAGAACTAGAAAGAAAATAGAAGAAAACCCCAAAGAGGGGTGTGAAATATATATGCTTGAAACATGTATGTGTAGTGTGACCTAAGTGTAAGTAGAAGTAGCAAGACATAACCTGAAATCTTGCATGTGTATGAGACAGAAAAAAAAAAGACCCAGAAATCTTCCCATCGTGTAAAACAATTACAGGCTTCAGTTTTACACTCACTTGGCAGGACGGTAGTACCTCCCTGGGCAGTTGCTGTCTACCAACCTACTACCTAGAATTAAATAATTATTATTATTAAATATTATCACCCTGCCTCTGTGGGAGATGGCTGACATGTTAAAAAAAATTACCAACATTAATATTTTGGTTTAGAATTCCTCCTATAAGAGCACTTATGCAATTATGATACTGTACTAATAAAACAGATAACAGGTGTCAATGGATGTTTCCTTCTTAATAATAAAATCAAATGAAATCAGCTAATTACTATTTCAGTTTATTATTTATTTAATATTTCATAATCACATAATAATCAATAATAAAATAATGAGGTGAGAAGTACAATAAATATTCAAGTTTAATTTTAAACCCTTCAATTCTAAAAAGAGAGCAAAGACAGTTTTTACTTAACTAACCCATGGAAAGGGTAAATAATTATTTTTTTTAATTTCATCAAGTATAGCAGTAAATGAAGAATGAATTATATTATAAGCCTTTCTCTCTCTTTCTCTATAAAAATAAAGTCTATTATTCATTTCAAGAACATTTATCCTTCCTGTTTCAATAATTGTTTGAATACCATCTTGTATTTCAAGTTACTTCTGTTCTAATTAACCAAGTGAATTACTGTACCAGAAACGTGCAATGAGATTTCTGAATACTGCCTACAATAAATTAAAGGAGCTGATATCTTCATGACTAAAAGATTTCCAGACAAAATATCTGATAGTATTTAACATAAGAGAGTAACACTGTGTGAGTAGTGAAGATATGATTACATAGAGGTTGGTAACACTCATATACAGGAGACGACTATTTAACTACAATTGTAGTTTGTAACATGTGCACACTATTATGTTAAAAATTACTAAATTCAGTTTCTATAGGAGGTAAAATGTCTTAGGATCATTGTAGCTGCACAAAATATAAATATTTAGGCTCTCTTTCTCTTTTGTGGGGGGGGGGGGGATATTTAAGTAAATAAAATATGTAAAAATAAAACCTCTGAGAGCAAGTGTTTTTACAAATGTAAGAATGAAGACATTTTACCCATTTATGGCACTGATATGATTAGTCTGTTGAACTATCAAATATTAAACTAGAGCAATCTATAAAAAATTAACTCAGGTACAAATTATGTAATGCTGTACAAACAGCTATTAAATAAACCTATACATCTTCAATAAAATCACTGCTTACAAATATTTATATAAAAAATTCTTAAATAAAAGTATTTTGCATTCTAAGGGCCTAGAATACAATGCAAATCAACTCTATATGAGTAACCTCATATAATTATGGATTACACATGCATGCACACCATACATAACAATACATAAACTTTGACTTAAAAGGTCTCCCATCCCACACTGTCACATGGTGCCAATCCATGCAGAAGAAAGGTAGCCAGTCCAGAGCCTTGATGTGACAAGTGATTGCTATACAGGTGCTCCTCGACTTATGATGGGGTTGCATTCCTACAAACCCATTGCAAATCAAAAATATTGTATGTCAAATATGAATATACTAAATAAATAAGTAAATAACTACTGTTGCTGAAGAAGTAAATAAACAAATAATTACTGTAACTAACTAACTACTGGTAATAAAAAAACAAATACGTACATGAATACAAGTTACAGACTTGCTGCCTTCATGCTGGCTAATTATCTTAAGTTTCATCTCCAAAGTAATTGATTTTGCACCATCGTAAACTCAAAATAACATAAGTCTAACCACTGTAAGCTGTGGAGCACCTGTATGCATAAGCCCCAAACAATAGCCTACTAATGATGTGTTCTGGTGAATGCTAATACAGGTGTACCTGGGGTATCACTGTGCTAGGGTATTTCAGCAAATTTTGGGATATTGGCAGTTTGGAGGGATATGTTGTGTATCTTTATATGTATATGCTTCTAAACTGTTGTATTCTGAGCACCTCAGCAAAAACAGTGATAATGTGTGAGTGTGGTGAAAGCGTTGAATGATGATGAAAGTATTTTCTTTTTGGGGATTTTCTTTCTGCCTCGGTGGGAGACGGCCGACTTGTTGAAAAAAAAAAAAAAAATCTCAGTACATATAAGATGCCCAATAGCAACTACAAGCCATGTAAATTTTACAATGGTAAATATTCATGACATACATTTAACCCTCACATTGTTCAAAGGAATGTAATATTGAAACAAGAATTTAAGAGAAAAATTCTTGTGATTATAGTTCAACATTTAATACCAGTTAACACCTGAAAATTAAGCATTTTTTCTTTACTTCCAAATTATTTTTTGTTTCTCATGACCATCATTACAAGAAATTAAAAAAAACAAATTTATTTTTACTGGACTCAATTTCTCTCTATCCGTTTTAATACACGAAGATATGTTGTTTATTCTGACAGCTCTTTTATACATGTCATTAAACTGTCATTTATATGAATATTTAATACATAAATTATACAAACTGATTAAAAAATATTACTATACAGCATCATACATATAATTATAAAAAATACTGTATTAGCAGAAACAACTGAATTTCTTGATACACTTTTTTTCGGCAAAACAAGAAATTGCAAACAGACAATCTGAAATTACCTTGGGGAGATAAAAAGTCCCCTAAATGTAATTAAATTATGGAATTCCCCAAACTCTCTTTTATTTTTTTGAGTCACTCTGCCTTGGTGGGAGACGGCCAGTACATTGGAAGAACAAAAACAAAAAACATGTGAATACTAATGAATCATGAACAAAGTATGTAGTCTCTGACCTCATGAAATTGAGTACAGTTACCTATATAGAATCATATTGGTGGCTAAAGCTCCCGCTTCACACACGGAGGGCCCGGGTTCGATTCCCGGCGGGTGGAAATTCCGACACGTTTCCTTACACCTATTGTCCTGTTCACCTAGCAGCAAATAGGTACCTGGGTGTTAGTCGATTGGTGTGGGTCGCATCCTGGGGGACAAGATTAAGGACCCCAATGGAAATAAGTTAGACAGTCCTCGATGACGCACTGACTTTCTTGGGTTATCCTGGGTGGCTAACCCTCCGGGGATAAAAATCCGAACAAAATCTTATCTTATCTTATCTTAAGTTGCAGAATGGCAGGTACTGTATATAAGAGGAGGAACAGGGAAGTTAGAGACTAACACAAATAAAACCCAACTGAATAAAGAACAAAAAGGCATAATACTGTGACAGGAACAATACACAAATAACTACACAGGAGAGAGAGAGAAGCTTATGACAACATTTCGGTCAGACCTGGACCATTTACAAAGTCACGCTAACACAAAAGAGTGAGAGAGCCAGTATATATAGGTGAGGGGACAGAGAAGAAGAAAAAGTAGGAGCATTAGTGGTAATGCTGGTAGTGGAAGTAATAGTATAGTAGTAGTAGTAGTGGTTGAATAAAATGCTGAATACATGATGCACGAGATGTTTGTGTGTATCTTTTTATCTTTGTTGAGGACAATTATTGTGTGTAATATGCAGTTTTCTATTGGCTTCCTTATAAATTAAAAAAAGTAAATATGTTGTTTTTTAATCTCATTGGGGAAGTGAAGATTCCTTCCTCCATAAGCCATGTGTGTCATATGAGGTGGCTAAAAAAAATGCTGGAAGCAAGAGGCTAGTATCCCATTCACCTGTATCAATCATTAAGAGTAAAAAGAAGAAAAGCTTTATGTTTCTTCTTTTTTAGGACACGCTGTCTTAGTGGGAAATAGAAGCTGTGTTAAAAATAAAAAATTATTTTAAACACTGCAATGGCTGACCAGCCGGGCTGTAGCTCGTACGTTGGACTGCATGCAGCCAGCAGTAACAGCCTGGTTGATCAGGCTCTGATCCACCAGGAGGCCTGGTCACAGACCGGGCCACGGGGGCATTCATCCCCGGAACTCTCTCCAGGTCTCCAGGCAACAGATAAAATGGATGCTGCTTGTTTTGTTTCCCACAAGTTAATTGCCAAATACATTTGAAGATTGATGGTTCAATGCCATCAACATAAAATACCCATAGCAGGGTTCTGCCTGCACTAAACCCAATGGCGGATAAAAATTATACAATCCTTCACCAGCAATTTGGACATATGACGACCAGAAGCACTCTTGATCCAAGGGATCAGGGCTATATATTTAAGTGATATGTACGTTCAACAACACTCTGTAGCACCAACTTTTCAGCAGGTAGGTGAGCAAAGGAGTAGTCAAGTATCAGCAAAAGTTTGCCATCATTAGAGAGCCCTGGTTTTCTACAATGGTCCCTTGTCGTTATCAATAATGTCTTCTTGTTTTCCTTGTTAGAACTGGTATCATTCTTACACCCCTTAGCATTCGTGGATTAGCATATTTTCCATTTAAAAGTAGTTTGCATTTGTGTAACAACTGCACTGCATAGATCAAATCTGTTAAACTTTCTTTGGATACTTTTAGCCCATCCATGGATTTCTCATTACTATAAATGAGAGAATATCCTACAACACCTCTCCAAAAAAAAAAAACACAAAGGCACCATACTTTGACTGGAGCAATACACAAACAACCCACAAATAGGAGAAACAAACTTTATGACCACTGACTAGTTAATGGTCCAAGTCAGATAGAAACATCATCATAAAGTTTCTTTCTCCTTTGTGCAGGATATTTGTGTATGCCTCTCCAACCCAATCAAGGATTTCTCATACGATGCCTTTCAAAATAATCATCTTATCAGCAGAATATGTTTGATTCAGAGTTAAATCATGTTCTTCGACTAAATGAATAAATTCATCTAAATATGTACTGGCAAGCAGCAAGGTGCAGCATGTAAATGGTGGTGGTGGTGGGTAACCAAAATGCCAGTAGCTATCATAAAAGACTATTGTCAGTACTTGTTGCTTCCTCTAAAACCTGGTCAGGTGATCATGTTTAAATTGAGCAATGCAGAAAGTTTACAAAATCTGAGAATCTAACTGAAAAATACGGAACTTTGGCAACTATTTTTTTAAACACTGGCAGTCTCCCCACTGAGGTGAGGTGACCAAAAAAGAGGAAATATATTATCTGTCATTCACTAAATCACTGCCTTGACAGAAGCATGTTAATATCACAGTTGAGATGGCCTTCAGAACTGCAACATTCTCACTCCACCACTGAAGTGCAGGCACTGTATTTCCCACCTCCAGAATTCATGTCTGGCTACCAGAGTTCCCTAAATCCCTTCATAAATGTTACCCTTTCAAATTCCAGCAGCAATATACTGTGTTATTGTCAGTGTAATATGTATTCTCAAAGAAAAAAAAAAAAGATTGACTGGATAAGAAAATTTAATGTTTAAGTTTTAAGACTTGTGTTTGATGGTGACCTTGACCAAATTACAGAATAGTATATGTAATGGGCAATTACAGTCACCGAATTTCAGAGACACAGGGAGTTCCAACCAAGTCAAGACAAGAAAAAAAAAGTGCCAATATGCAAGAAATTCTGTTGATTTAATTTGTATTGTAGATCTTTCCATGTAAGAAACATGTTAGTGTTGAGTATATATCTTGCTGCTTCTCAAAGCAATACCTGGGAAACTGAAAGCATAAACACTAGTCATTAGCAATCCATTCACAGTGCAGATATGATAAAAATGATATATTTTTTAAAATATAATTTATTTGTAAGGAATGCTAAATGGACAACACCATCTTAAGCCATATGGGAAAGGCAAAATGGATATCACTGAGATGATACTGTTTTCACAGTATTCCCAAAATATCTCTAAGGTAATCTTCAAATGTGCCAATACGATGATACTAAAATAATACTTTAGACCAGGCTTCAAAGTTCTTGACTAATATTACGATATGTATGATATTGATATAATGCATTCTTACATGCATAGAAGTATACATAAATCTTCCTTTTTGATAATAGCTCACCAATATTTTTTAATGTTTACACCTTTTTCAGTAATTATTAATGATTAACTTAATATTTTAAGAACAATTTGGGTCATTCATATTCATGACTGACAAACATACAACAGATGATACATGATATTAAAAGTAAATACAGTACATTAATTTTCATATATTTCCAGCTGCCAAGAATATGTGGAAGATCATTATGGAGGGAAGATACTCTCTCTCTCATGGTACCAATGCCAGAAAATGCTAGCAAGTGTGTTTTGAGAGGATTAATTTTAACAAATAAAAAGAAATTATTAAATAATTTGTAATTAATCTTACCTGCATAAGACACAATTTCAATAAATATTCTCCTTAGACTTTCTAATACATGTACACTACATCACTCTGGAATATTAGAGGGATGACTATTTAGCTTCAGAAACTTCAACATGATGGTCTTCTGAATATTTAGGAATGTGCTTCTACAAGAGTCAAATGTCAACACTGAACTGGGAGATATTAGCATACTGCTCATACTATTGCATGCCCTCAAACAATTTTGAGGAAGCTTCGGGGATCTGTGATGTTGCGTCGTCGCGGAAAGGGAATGAGAATGTGAAGAATCCAATAGCGGCCAAACACATGAAGAAAGTTGTGAAATGCTGATCGATGTACCATGAGCAGACCCTAAAATACAGAGCATAAGCATTACAACTTAATATACATTTTTTTTTTTTCAACAAACCGGCCGTATCCCACCAAGGCAGGGTGGCCCGAAAAGAAAAACGAAAGTTTATCTTTTTAAATTTAATAATTTATACGGGAGAAGGAGTTACTAGCCCCTTGCTCCTGGCATTTTAGTCGCCTCTTACAACACGCATGGCTTACGGAGGAAGAATTCTGTTCCACTTCCACATAAAATAAACAAGAACAAGAACTAGAAAGAAAATAGAAGAAAACCCAGAGGGGTGTGTATATACTACATGCTTGTACATGTATGTGTAGTGTGACCTAAGTGTAAGTAGAAGTAACAAGACGTACCTGAAATCTTGCATGTTTATGAGACAGAAAAAAGGACACCAGCAATCCTACCATCGTGTAAAACAATTACAGGCTTTCGTTTTACACTCACTTGGCAGGACGGTAATACCTCCCTGGGCAGTTGCTGTCTACCAACCTACTAATTTAAAGAATTTTGGTGGTGGCTGCCACAACCTGGCCAATATGTCTCTCTTTAAATTTTTTTATGTTAATGCCCAGGGTTTATTACCTGGACCTCAGCAATGAGAGTCGCTACTCTCACCGGTGGGCAATGGCGACAAGTGCTAAATTTTTTATTAATGCCCGGTTTTATTACCTGGACCTCAGCAATGAGAGTCGTTACTCTCACCACTGGGCAACGGCGACGAGTATAGTACATAAAGACTAATATTTTGTATTCAAAAGATTAAACTACAACTACGGTAGCTGTTAGTACACAATGTACTTTTTATCTGGCTATGTATGTTTTTAGGGTAATATCTTTGGTATTGTTAGACTATAGCATAAGCTGAAATGTGATAATTCAAAGACATTTTAACCCTTTCAGAGGCTGTCACGTAGAACTACGTCATTGAGGCCAGGGTTCATCATCTAGTTCTACATCATGAGCTCAGCTCACTCAAATAAGCTGCGAGCGGTAAATTTTGGTCTAGATATGAGAGACTGGGTCTGTGCAGTGCATACATAGTATAAAAAAATCCTGCCCATGCTGTGAATGATGGGAAAAACAAAACTCTGACCATGGTTTAAAAATAGTGACTTTGAGGTGTTTTCTAGGATAGTTTTATGGTTTTACTGGCTGTTTCTTGGCATCACTGGGTGGAACTAAAGACATACTACTGAAATAGAGATGATTTTAGTTGGTGTCAGGATCAGAAGTAGCTTGAAATTGGGCTCCAAGTAGCAGAAATACACAAATAACCCGCACATAGAAGAGAGGAGCTTACGACGACGTTTCGGTCTGACTTGGACCATTTACAAAGTCACACAACAAGAAGCAGAGCAGGAAGGGTATATATAGGCAGGAAGTGGTAGTGATAGTAGTAGTATTGGTGGTAGTAGTACAGTACTACTACCACTACCACTTCCTGCCTATATACACCCTTCCTGCTCTACTTCTCATAAGTGTGACTTTGTAAATGGTCCAAGTTGGACCGAAACGTCGTCGTAAGCTCCTCTCTTCTATGTGCAGGTTATCTGTGTATCATTCCAGTCACGGTATTGTGCCTTTTTCTGTTATTTATCAGAAATATTCGATGTTTGCCGATTTTCCTGTGGACAAGTAAGGCCTCCCTACATCCCCTGGTTTGATTCAATTACTGGGACGTTGTAAACCATGACCAATAATTACTGTTTATATTTTATTATCTGAGAAATAGAGTAAATCTTCTATTTTTGTATGATTATGAATTCAAAATGTAAGGCAAGTGGAATATAGAAGAGGCTGATTTTTCAAGACTCTTTGTGGGGAAAAAAAAGCATGCCTTATATGCCGGAAAATACAGTACATACTGGGCCTTCCCAAATCCACTTACTTTGTTATATTCATAAGCAGTCTGGCCTCTGAGGACATACACCAGTTGTTGCACTACACAAAAACCAGTGAATACAACTGAAGCTGTAGATACATACAGCAAAGTCACCCACCCCACCTCAGCCAACTGTGCCTGTTAATAAACCATAATTTAAAAACTAATGAGAAACTGCTCAATAAATCCTAGATTATAAAAAAGGTCAAACTGATAAAAATATATATTTAAAAACTCAAGAAAAAATACTATAAAAAAATGCGTCTCACCTTCCCTAATAGCCACATGACAAGAGTGACAGGGTAAAAATAATACAGAAATTCTGATGACCAGAAGGCTCTCAAGTACGTCCCTGAGTAATAACCATGGAGCAATCTTGCTGCAAAAATACACCTGAAAAGAAGAGTACAGTTAAGCACAGTACAGTATGTAAAAAAACATTAAGAAAAACTAGCAGACTAGAAAAACTCACAAGTAGAAAACTCACAAATGCTGAAGGCATCAAGTACAGCATCTCCTAGCACTTTATAAGTATTTAATAGCAGCTTATGGCACTTACCCTACACAAGCATAAAAGCAGAAGAGGATAAAGTAGCACAGATTGTATCCTCCAACACATGTACCAAGAAAGAAGCAGTGATGATCTCTCTGATGAATACAACGGTCGCAAAGGGAACAATGGTGGCTGCGTTCAGGTTTGTAGATCTTACATGTTGGACAGTAACGGAGCTGCTTGCAGTCATCATGAGACAAACCAGGAGCCAGTTCACTGTGAAAAAAAGATTCAATGAGAAGTCTAATATTCCTTAAGAAATTGGCTTTAGGTTACAAAAATGTAAGCTGGCATACGATTTGCTTCACAAAACATAGGTAATGGCTGTGCCAGCTTAAAAGTACAAAATAAAATTGGTTTTGATAGTTCTTCCTGGTCTCATAGCCTGATATGAGGCCAAACTTTCTTGGTGGCTGCCTTGTTAGCCACGTTATTGCTACCTGTGGCCCACAAACCTATAATTTGGATCATCAAGCAATGACTTTAGGAATTTATCTTTCCTTTGAAAAACTCCCTTTATTCTAACATGCTGTATTTCCAATATTTGCAACTAACATTCAGTATACATTACATGCATGTGAATTTATATGTAGATGTGTGTATGGTCCTGTGTCTAGTGTTTGTGATTCAATCACTGGCTGGGTGGAAACATTGGGCATGTTTCCTTACACCTGCTGTCCCTGTTCACCTAGCAGTTAGTTAGTTTAATATGTTTATTATGCACCCCATACCCATCCTGTGGGCGGTAGTCAAAAGATTACAGAGGTACATAATTGGTCCAGGGACTGGACTCCAAAGTTTTGATAGCTGAGCAAGTTACAAAGGTAATGAACTAGATCTGGTCATAATCATGACAAGTTACAAAGGTAATGAGCTCCAGGTAGAGCTGGTCACACTCATGAATAATTGCAAAGGTAATGAATCATAAACACATTAATCATGAGAATTTACAAAGGTAATGAGCTCCAGGTAGAGCTGGTCAAAATCATGACAAGTTTCAAAGGTAATGAATGATAAACACGTTATCACATGATTACAATCATAGACAAATTACAGAGTAATGAGCAGTTAACAAACATAGCAGGGAATTCATCCATTGCCCCAACAAAAGATGTTGCTAGGTGCCTGTCTCTCCTCGGTAGACAGCCATTGCAAACAGCAGCAAGTTGCCCCGGGATCTGCTGCTTGCACGAGCACCATCAACCCTCCCCAAGAGGTCCAAGAAGCCAGTGACTCCGTTAGCAGCCCGATGGAGAGCTCCCCTATGGACATGTCAGCGTCCTGGTGGACGCCAAGTTGATTGAAGATCCCAGTAAGTGGGTACCTGGGTGTTAATTGACTGGTGTGGGTCACATCCTTGGGGACAAGACTGAAGGACCACAATGGAAATAAGATAGACAGTTCTCGATGACACATTGAATTTCTTGGGTTTTCTTGGGTGGCTAACCCTCCCCCAGATTAAAAATCCAAACAATTCTTATCTTATTTTTTACATATACACATACACACTTCTGAATTTCTTAATAGCATTTGTCTCACCCGAGTTCCCTTTCAATTCCATGAGGAAGTGTTACAACCCTTCCACTGTATGCAATGTATGTCACAGAAACTAACTAAAATGCCAGAAGCCAGTGGCTAATAACCTCATCTTCTGTATGAATTACTAAAACAACAAAGAAGGAAATTTTAAAGTTGAGTTGTTTGAATGTTAATGGTATGAAATAAAGGAAGACGGATGTCTTAGGATTAAGCTCAACAAAGTTAAAAGGAGTGGGAGAATTTCAATGGGAAGCAGTCAATGGATATCAGATCAAAAATGAGAGAGCATGTAGTAAGTGAATGTATGTAGATATCTGAGAGTGGAAATGTCAACAAATGGGTCTATGAAAGATGAAGTGAACCATAAAACAGATGAAAGAAAAAAGGTGGGTTTAATGGAGTGGAATTGATTTATCTATGGAGGAAAAAATAAAAAGGAATGTACCATAGTGACACCATTCTTCTTATATGCACTTTAAATGTTAAAATAAGGGGAGGCTGGAGGAAGTACAGATGTCGTGTTTGAGAGCAATGTATGGTGTGAGTATGCAAAGTATTTGCAGTGCAAAATAAAAAAAAATGTGTTGGGCTGTTGAGGTGGTCGGACATTTACAGAGGATGGAGCACATTAGGATGACTAAGTTATGTATAACTCCAGAAGTAGGGTTCATCCCAAGATGGGTTGGATATTATAGTATATTATACTGTACTAGAGAATGTAGTGCCTGTATGGCACCCTCGAAATGACAATATGACAAATGTCAAAGTAACAAAGAAACATACAGTCTGACTGACAGCATGCTAAGTGGTGGTAAGCTGCATAAACTTGTTTCACACACAACTTTTATTTAAACACCGAGGCATGTCTATGACTTGAACAAATGATTTTTTCTTTGTCCATGTAATTATTACTTTTACCCCAGGAAACAAACATCAAAACATAAGGTGCCATTCACAAAAAGCTTCTGGTAGGATAGTGTTTAATAATTAATTTCCATGCTCCTTGTGAGAAACAGAATTAGTGCTTGGTGTGTGAATCTTATCAATAAAAGCTAGATTAATTTGCAGCAACAGATTTAATTTAAAACACAGAAAGGCTTCTTCTGGAGCTGTGACCCTGAAACAGTCATTTTTTTTTTTAACACATCGGTGGTTTCCCACTGAGGCAGGGTGACCCAAAAAAGAAGAAACGCTTTTATCATCATTCACTCCATTATTGTCTTGCCAGAGGCGTGCCAATACTACAGTTGTATTTCCCACCTCCAGGACCCAAGTCCAGCTAACCGGTTTCCCTGAATGAGCCAGGTGGCTGTCTAAAGGGAATGGGCCATGGGCCACGGTCCCCTTGGTCTCTGGGGGGCCTCTCAACACATACACCCTTTCAAACCAAAAACCTGACGAGATCTCCAGGCCCAAAATTTCTTCCAGTGTTCGTTTTGCTCATCTGTAGTTTTTGTTTGACACTACTGAAAAAACAGTTGACAAGCTGGTAACTTATTTGACGTAACACACCGATACTCTTGATAACCACAGCCTTTCACAACTGGCACATGAAGGTACAAGTGTCCCAATATTTAGTGTGGGGAGTCTAGCCCCCTCGACTTGACTGGAAGGGACCATATATTTTCTATTCAAATTTATAAAAAATTAAACTTAAATTGATAGACAAGATATGAAAAATCGATGGTGAAGAAAAATTTGCAGAATTGGAGGAAATTTAAGATATGCTATATAGAAAGCTCCAATGCATTTTAAAAATGTTAGATGATGAAGATTTGAACCTCCAAATGCCCAATGAAACAGCAAAAGAAGAAATAAAGAAGGTACTACTGCATAGTGGCAAAAGAGAAAAATAAAAAAAGGGATTAAAGATACCACTATGGGTTAGGAAAAAATGTGCAGATAAACTATTAATTTTGAATTATTTTTTGCAACTTGATTAGACAGCAAATTGGCAGACAAATAATAAAATGGCCAACATTGTGCTAATATTTACAAAGATGACAGAAAACTCTTAAAAACTATCAACCTTTTTTATTGACAAGCATACCTGAATTTGCACAAATACTGGGATATGCACCAGTAATGTGGCATTGCACCTCAATAAACATTTATGTGATACAGAAAAAGTTCAAAGATATGCCACAAAATGACCCCAAAACTACTGAAAAATTATGAAACAAAATTGAAAATAGCAAAAATGCCCTCATTGGCTAAGAGGAAACCTGGTATATAACTACTTACAAAATCTCTGAAAAATAGGGGACAAAAGATGAAGCTGCCTTATCACCATTGACAAGAAGTAGTAACTGTAAACTGCAAAAAATAAATTTCTGTAAAGGAGACCAGAAAACTTTCCTTCATAAATAGAATAATGGAATACTGGTATAGGATACAAGAGGTTATAAGTGCTACAATCACTGGAAAAAAAAATAAAAATAATGATAAAAACTCTGAAGACAAGACTCCACCTTGTGATACTAAAAATAGGGAATCACCATAAAAATAAAAAATCACTATTAAAATAGGCAGCTACCATAAAAATAGGCAATCAAACACAGGAGGAAAAAAAGACTTGCCTATTAATATGTGGCTTTGTAGTGCTACAGTATAAGAATTTAAAATGCTATGATATGTACCCAGCTGGTCAGGTAAGGCAGAGCCGCTCTGTTTGTAGACATGTGATCCTTGCATGATAATAATAATAATAATAATAATAATAATAATAATAATAATAATAATAATAATATCTTTATTTACTACAAGTACATGTACAAGGTATACAAGGTATACAAGGTATACAAGGTAGACCTGCCCCTATTTTTTTGTGGATACATTTGTCATACCTCACAGTTACACTTTTGTGCTCCAAATAATATAATGTAGAGTTGTTATACATTAAAAAGCAGACTGGCAGTGCACATGTGCAATTTTAGAAGTAGAGTAAACACACATTTATATAACATACCAGATATTACTATATAGTTCTGGTACTGTGCTTGCGAAGATGTTGGTAATGCCATACATTCTGCCATACAAATCTATCACTTACACTATGTGCGCTGGGATGACCAGAGAAGATAGGTGTATAACTCCAACACTTCCTGGAGGAATAATTGAAAAATCACATCTCTAACCCAAGTGCCCATATAAGTTAATAAAAATATCCTTTCTCATGACACTACCAGTTGTGTTTGTACGTGATTGTACGTATTATACTTAATCATTCTTTCTTCAGATGTAGCATAAAGAAGCAGGCTAGTAAATATTTACACAGGGGTAGCAGGTACCTCTGTAAACAGTCTGTTGATATCTGCATCAGGTCTCCATATGTGCACCAAATGTGGCATTTATTATCAAACATAAAATAAGGACCAAGGCAACCTTTCTTTATTTACTATATTTTTTATTTGTATAACTGTCTATCTTGGAATAGTTAGAGGAACCTTAAGAAGATATCAAATTTAATTCACCAAGTGGTTCTGACCTAAGACTAAAAAAAAAAAAAACAGTAAAGTAAAGGTTTATTTCTTTGTAAAGGTTACAATATGTAATTACAATTTTGGTTTGCTAAGTAGAAAGAAAGCTACTATCATGCCGGGGCATTTCAGTAGTGCTCCATATGACCCTTAATTAGGTACTGAACATAAAGTTTCAAAATAATAGCAAGATAACTTTCGCTCGTAGCATCAGACAACTTGATATCAATTTTTTTTTTTACCAACTGTTTGAGGATTTATTATACAGATGGAGTACTAATGAAGTACTGTAATGTAATAACAAGGAAAAAACATACAGTGGTCCCTCGCTTTTCGTAGTTCTCGGCAATCGTAAATTTCGCCAATCATAGGGGTATTTTCGTATAAACATGGACTCGCTTTTCATAGGTTGACTCGCGAATAGTAGTTCGTCCGGGACGTGTACACACGGTGTGAGCCGGGGCAGCCTCCCTACCCAGCCAGTCTGGCATTGTTTACCAGTGAGTGAAGGTCCCCTCAAGTGCTCCTACGAAATATTCCATAATATTCCACTCATTTTAGTGCTTGCAATTACTAAATAAGCTACCATGGCTCCAAAGAAAGCTCCTAGTGCCAAGCCTGTGGTAAAGAAGGTGAGAAATATGTACAGTGACAAAGTCTTGGGCCATTTTTGGGAAGTGTTAAAGAGACGCCAGAAACAGAGCTCTCTCCACAGTTACTTTGCGAGACAGGACTAGAGTGACTCTCAAGGTGGTCCTAGTGGCATTAAGAAACAGAGAAGAGAAGCAACCCCAGAGAAGTAATTGGTACCTGAGGTGTTGCTGGAAGGGGATTCCCTTTCCAAACTGTAAACAATCCAATAAAGGTAAGTGTTATGCTGTTAATGTTTCATTCATCATTTCCCATTGTATTGTTTATGTACTATATGTATATTTCATGTAAAAAATTTTTTTGTTTCAATACTTCTGGGTGTCAGGAACAGATTAATTGTATTTACATTATTTCTTATGGGGAAAATTGATTCGCAAATCGTAAATTTCGTTTATAGTAGCTCCTCCAGGAACGGATTAATTACGAAAAACGAGGGACCACTGTAATTGCAATTAACAACTTATCTACCATAAAGTATCTGTATTGGTAACCCTGCTAGTGTAGTCTACCTGGAGGGTATTCCGGGGATCAACGCCCCCGTGGCACGGTCCATCACGAGGCCTCCTGGTGGATGAGGGCCTGATCAACGAGGCTGTTACTGCTGGCCGCACGTAAGATGGTAAGATATATATATACATATGTCTTACTGAATAGGTAAAAACTAGTCAATTAGCAAGAACCCATTGAAAATTAAGTCTTTTCTAAAATTTTCTCTTATACCTTTAAAGATGTATTTTCTTCATTTATGGTAATGTAAATATTAATAATATTGTACCTAAAGAATCTTAGAAAACTTACCTAACCTTATTATAACAGGCACAATTTAATTTAGCCTAATTCAACTAAACATATTTTAGATAAGCTTACAATAATTTAATAATAAACAAATACAATGAAATATTTATTTTTTGTTAAGTTCAGAATGATTTTTGTGAAATTATTGCATACTCAAATTTTCACTTGCCTTATTCAGCAAGAAGAGCATTGCTATTTAAGCCAAAATCGCTAGTTTTACCTATTCAGTACGACATGTATATATCCTCCAAGTAACAGAGGAGCTGTAACTCAGAGTCAAGAGCTGTGAATCAACCCTTGCAACCACATATATGTGAGTACATATACACACACAGTGCAGTCACACACAGACAATAAGGTATTATATGCAAAAAGCAAAAAGGAAAAGGAAATAGAACTTAAATAGGAGTTGCCTCAGAAACTTTCAAATACAGAAAAGCTAACACAACCTGTAACAAGAGCAACAAAAAAACAAAAACACTCACAGGTATTAAAAAAAGAAACCACTACCTATTCCCAGAGGATTGTCAATGTAGCTCTTGGTGCAGAAAAATAGCAGCCAATTTCCAAAAATTTCAATGCTGAAGAAGTACACAATGATAGTGTTCACACCGCTAGCTTCCAGGAGCTGTGGAAGAGAGATTGTATAATGATTAATTTAATAACAATTTTGCTATGTAACATAATTAGTAGCATTATACAGTGGACCCCCGGTTAACGATATTTTTTCACTCCATAAGTATGTTCAGGTGCCAGTACTGACCGAATTTGTTCCCATAAGAAATATTGTGAAGTAGATTAGTCCATTTCAGACCCCCAAACATACACGTACAAACGCACTTACATAAATACACTTACATAATTGGTCGCATTCGGAGGTAATCGTTATGCGGGGGTCCACTGTATATGGGTAAGTAACGGTGATGGATAATGGAAGACTTATGAAAATATAAAACTAGAATGAAATTATGTTTTTAACTGCTCAAAATGCACTGCATGCTAGTGGTTTTCTTTCATGCCTAACAATATTCTATTTTATGTAAACTACACTATCTCTATACTGCAGAAAAGAAATAAATTGTTTGTTTATTGTTACTAGTTTCTTTGTGAGATACTACTTGAATATAAATACAGCATAAGTAGTACATATGTATATGAAAAATGTTATGTATTATATCTGTCTAGAACCTACTTTAGAAACAAAAACTAAAAATAAGATATTCTTCTTGTACAGCCTCTCCTCACTTTGCGATGTATTTGTTTACCGATGACTCAGACTTACGACGGGCTCTTTCCCCAGTATTCATACCTAAATAATATATGTTACAGCTGATTTCCTCCATTCTGCTTATTACAATATACCTACAGTATACAACTGTATAAATATTTAAAAATATACCAGAAATGCTATAAATGGTGCAAAGGTAACATTAAAACAATATCAAAGATGGCTGACTTAAACCCACTACCATTATAGTATGCTCCTCACTTACCGACGAATTTGTTTACTGACAAGGTCTTAGGAACAGAGATTTATCGAACAGAGATCTATCGTTAAGTGAGGAGAGGCTGTATATTTTATTTCTGGTTCTAAGACCCCTTTTCAAAGACAAAATAATATGTGGATAGAGATTATATATTAAGTAATATTATCCACAGCTGAGTTCTGAACATGTGATCTACCTGGCAATGCTGTAATAGATCTCCATTCTGACTGTTCAGTTAATACAGTATCAGTGAAAGACAAAAAGATGAAATATATGATACACTGATCTGAAAATATCACTTACTAAATAAATATTTTTATCTACAATGATCCAAGGTTATAACGGTACCTGATATGAATAATAACTGAGTAACAGAATGATGACCAGTGTTGTTAGTGGTGCTAAACTTGTGAGAAACTCCACTACACGTCTCACAATTTGTATTTTGTCGGCATTTACAAATGAAGTCCAGGCGCGGCGACACAGACATACTGGCGACACCATCCAGCTGGCTGACCTCTCCTGGGCATACACTATACCAATTGACTTATAAACTGCTGAAGTACCTGAAAATACAGTAATCTATATTAGAAGAAAACTGTAATAGCATTAAGAGATACAGTTATCCCTACAAATCTGTGGGCTTAAGTAAGTTTATTTAGGTACAGGTACACACAAATACAATTATCATGCATAGTACAAATTACCAAGGACCCCACTGGTAATAAGTCCATTTGTTTGACTTTTTGGGGGTTATCCTAGGTAAGTACGTACACTGCGGTACAAGTACACATAAATGCAGTTACACAAATTACCATACATAGTAACATAATAAAATAATAACATCTTTATTTCTACAGGTAAGTAGTAGATTGGTAGACAGCAACTGCCCAGGGAGGTACCACCATCCTGCCAAGTGAGTGTAAAACAAAAGCCTGTAACTGCTTTACACAATGGTAGGATTGGTGGTGTCTTTGTTTCTGTCTCGTAAACATGCAAGATTTCAGGTACGTCTTGTTACTTCTACTTACACTTAGGTCACACTACACATGTACATACAAGCATATATATACACACCAGTCTGGGTTTTCTTCTATTTTCTTACTAGTTCTTGTTCTTGTTTATATCTTATCTCCTTGGGGAAATGGAACAGAATTCTTCCTCCGTAAGCCATGCGTGTCGTAAGAGGCGACTAAAATGCTGGGAGCAAGGGGCTAGTAACCCTTGCTGCTGTATACATCACTAAAGTTAAAAAGAGAAACTTTAGTTTTTCTTTTCGGGCCACCCTGCTTTGGTGGGATACGCCCGGTTTGTTGAAAGAAAGAAGTACATGTACAAGGTATACAGGCCTAGACAACATCAATGACATACTACTATAGAGAAAGCCACTTGTTATGCAGAGCATTTCAGGCAAATTAGGTCAGTTTTGTTCCACGATGCGACCTACACCAGTCAACTAACACCCAGGTACCCATTTCATACTGATGGGTGAACATGGACAGCAGGTGTCTTATGGAAACACGTCCTAATGTTATCCAACCGTAGTGGAGATTCGAACTCCGGACCTCAGTGTGTGAGCCGAGTGCACTAGCAATCGAGCTACAGGGCACCATATGTGTAAATTATCTCGGATAATCCAAAAAAGTCAGTGACTTATTTCCATTAAGGTCCTAGTAATATCTTATAATTAAAACCTTAAGAGCGTGAAAATCAGTTACAATAAAAGGAGATACAATAGGAATAAAGTAAACTGAGGTATTTACATTAACATTAAAGAGGGTTTACCTGGAGAGGGTTTCAGGGGTCAACGCCCCCGTGGCGCAGTCTGAGACCAGGCCTCATGGTGGATCAGGGTCTGATCAACCAGGCTGTTACTGCTGGCCGCACGCAACTGACATACGAACCACAGCCCGGTTGGTCAGGTACTGACTTTAGGTGCCCGTCCAGTGCCTTCTTGAAGACAGCCAGGGGTCTACTGATAATCCCCTTTATGTATGCTGGGAGGCAATTGAACAGTCTTGGGCCCCGGACACTTACTGTGTTGTCTCTCAGTGTACTCGTGGCGCCCCTGCTTTTCATCGGGAGAAAGTTGCATCTCCTGCCATGTCTTTTGCTTTCATATGGAGTGATTTTCGTGTGCAGGTTTGGTACCAATCCCTCCAGGACCTTCCAAGCGTATACAGTGGACCCCCGCATAATGATCACCTCCAAATGCGACCAATTATGTAAGTGTATTTATGTAAGTGCGTTTGTACATGTATGTTTGGGGGTCTGAAATGGACTAATCTACTTCACAATATTCCTTATGGGAACAAATTCGGTCAGTACTGGCACCTGAACATACTTCTGGATTGAAAAAATATCGTTAACCGGGGGTCCACTGTATTATCATGTATCTCTCTCGCCTGCATTCGAGGGAATACAGATCAAGGACCTTCAACGGTTCCCAGTAGTTTAGGTGCCTTATCGCACTTATGTGTGCCATGAAAGCTCTTTGTATGCTCTTCAAGTCTGCAATGTTGCCAGCCTTGAAGGGGGCCGTTAGTGTACAGCAATATTCTAGCCTAGAGAGCACAAGCGATTTGAAGATCAGCTTACAATAATAGGTACATGAATGTTAGCTGTAATGTACAAGAAATCAGTCTCCTCCCTTTCTGGAGTTTCATTCAATAGGTACCTTTATGCAGATTCACTCATTAGGTACCTTTTAGCTCTCTTCCTGAACTGGCTCATGCTAGGACAGACTTTAATAAGTTTATTTAGGTACAGGTACACATAAATACAGATACACAAATCATCATACATAGAAATATAAGTAATACAATCGCAAACTTAACAATACAGAACAAACCACATGGGGATGGAAATCTCTAGCTCAAGAATTTTCATGCTCTCTACACGTCATCAGAAGCTAAGCAACATTGCTAGTCTTGCAACATTGCAGAGCTCCTGATGATGCACACAGTGTGTGAAAGATCTTAAGCTAAATATTTCCATCCCCATGTGGCTTTTGCATAGTAGCGTATGTGTAAATTACCCAGGAAAAGCCCCCAAAAAAGTGACACAAGGTGACTTATTTCCACTGGGCAATAAAAGGTGTTTGAAGCCTGACCTACTGTAGGTAAGTTTATTCAGGTATACACAAATACAGTTACATAGATTATCATACATAGCTGCATATATGTAGAGAACCCAAGATAACCCAAAAAAAAGTCAGAGAGACTCATCTCCACTGTGTTCACATTCCCTAGTAAGAATGGAAATAAAAAAAAAAAAAGTCCTCGATGAAGCGCCAACTTTCTTGAGGTTATCCTGGGTAGATAAGTAAGTTCATTCAGGTATACACAAATACGTACAGGTACATAAATGATCACACATAGCAGCAGGTGTGTAGATTACCTAGGATAATCCAAAAAAAAGGAAAAATTATTTATTTCCCAGGTTAAAAAAAATCGAACAAATCTTATGAAGATATTATAGCCATGGATGGGCGTGTCTCTGTAATACTAATACATTATTATTATTATTATTATTATTATTATTATTAAATGGAGAATATGTTGATAAATAAATATTCCCACGTGTGTTCTCCATGTTATGGACATACTGGGAATAATGTGTAATGTTGAGGATGTTCTGACCTGAGAATAAACTAGTGACTGAAAATAATTAGTAACTTGTGAAAAATGAATTGATATCCACATTATCCAATAATAATAGAAAATTAATACCAAATTTGCGAGTGTTTGACAGCCGCTTTAGTAAGATTATTTAGGTACAGGAATACATAAATACAGTTACACAAATGATCATACATAGTATCATATGAGTAAATTAACTACGATAACCCTAAAACTTAAAAAAAAAAAAAAAGTCTAAGTGACTTCCCACAATGGTCACTATACCCCGGAATGTCATGCTCATTTAAGAGCTATTTCCTACATTTCAACGTAATCAAAGAAGCTTCAGGAATTCTATATAGCTAGAACTCACGTTCTCGCTGCCTTAAATCCGTGGTGAGTGCAGGACACTGACCTAACTGAAGACCAACCTGCTTCATTAAACCTGTAGTGTAACACTCACAATGCTACTTGACAGCCACACTGCAAGTATGGATACCATGCCATGTTCTCACTATCAGAAAAAACTACAACCCCATCCCTGATAAAGGCATTTAGCGTGTTATGAACCACGTACCCGTGGGTACGTCAGGGCAGGGCAGTGGGCAGGGTGTTGGCAGTGTCTTAGTTGCTCCTCCGTACTTGTGTCCTCTTCTCACCTGCGCCAGTTATCATTATTACACTCATTAGGTGAGAGTTAAACCCGTAGGGGATCGTGCATCTTCTGGGCGATCAGGTGCGATCCAAGGAAGGGGAGGATAGGTCCAGTTCCATGGATGAAGAGCCCCTCAACGGCATGAAGGTACCTGGCTGGTGCGCATGTTGGTCTACTGATGTATTGATTCATCTTATTCTCTCCTCCTCCTTCATCAGTGTCTACTTATTATTGCTATTACATTCATAGGGAGAGCGCTGAACCCGTAGGGGGTCATGCAGCGCCTGGGGGGGGAATGGAGGGCATTTACCCCTAGGAATTGGTACATTGGTATAATTCTTCAGATCAAGAGCCCCCCTCACCAGCATCAAGGGGTAATTAAAGTCTCATTATCACTGTTACATTTACAGAAAGGAGCGGTAAACCCGTAGAGAGGGACCATACAGCGCATGAAGGAGGGGGTAGAATGATTACCTGGAGAGAGCTCCAGGGGCCAACGCCCCCGCGGCCCGGTCTGTGACAAGGGTATTTAAGCTCAAGGAATTGTTAAACCGGCATTCTTCCGATCAAGAGCCCCTCACTAAACATCAAGGAACGTATTATCATCATGGGGCGCAAAACTCGTACGGATTATACAGCGCCCGTGGGGGGAGATAAAAGGCATTCAGGCTTAATTCAGGGAATTGGAGCACAGATCCATTTCCCCTAGATCAAGAGCCCCTCACCAAACATCAAGGAACCTCCTTTGAAGGATCATCAATATCTTACGTTCACTATAGTGTGACAGCCACGTGTGTCCTGACTGCCCGTCCTGCACACCTGGTGATATACCTGGGGGCTGTTCTGGGGGTCAATGCCCCCTAGGCCGGATTTAGGGGAGGGGTCCCACGGCCCGGGCCTCCCACCAGAAGGGGCCCCCACCAAACGATGAAAAATATTATGACACATTATACTGAGAACTGAATAGATTGCAAAAAGAGAAAATGCATGCAAGAGTTTGAATTGTGGTGGAATTGTCATGTTGAGTTATCTGATTACTGATGTTACATCATCAGTGCGAACGTATCAGCAGCTGCATGACGTGAGGATGACTCAGAGCACATCATCATCCTGGGTGTGCAGGGCGCTGCAGTATGAATGACTGCTTGGTCGTGGTCAGTACGTGAACAACAGTGTGGTAGTGAGAACTGGCTACAAACGAGCATGAAGCAAGGGCGGCTTGTGAACCTGATGGTCATGAGGGTAGAATCTGATATCCTGCGCTCGTTGGATTTTGATGGAGACATCAGAGACTTTTCCATCAGAAAAGCACGGAATGTACCTGGCTTATAATATTTTATCTGACTGAAGATAACTCCTCATAAGTCTGTACATTACTTTTGAGTTACACATGCAAATGAACCGAAAGGCTGCCAAAATACACTATAAATACAATTTATTGTTTCATTTCTTCATCTTAAGAGGATGGTAGGTATACTGAGTGGTGAAAGTTTTCCAAGGAGAAACTGAAAAGTCTTCTAAATATTAGAGTTAGGCCTTTTTAATGCAAGGGGAACCCCCCACCAAATTGGCCCCGGGCCCCCCACCACCTTAATCCGGCACTGGCCCAGTCCATGAACAGGCCTCCCGGTGGATCAGCACCTGATTCTCTATAAGGATTACAATGCTGAGTTTACAGAATTTGGTTATTGTATGGTTTACATGTAGTAAAATAATAATTACAGAGTGTTTTCCTGGCTGCCTTTCCTTCACACCTATGATGGATGAAATGTTTTCCTGGCTGCCTGTCATTCACACCTATGATGGGTGAAATGTTTTCCTAGCTGCTTGTCCTTCACACCTATGATGGGTGAAATGTTTTCCTGGCTGCCTGTCCTTCACACCTATGATGGGTGAAATGTTTTCCTGGCTGCCTGTCCTTCACACCTATGATGGGTGAAATGTTTTCCTTGCTTCCTGTCCTTCACACCTGTGATGGGTGAAATGTTTTCCTGGCTGCCTGTCCTTCACACCTATGATGGGTGAAATGTTTTCCTTGCTTCCTGTCCTTCACACCTGTGATGGGTGAAATGTTTTCCTGGCTGCCTGTCATTCACACCTGTGATGAGAGAGGTTTGTTGGTGTACAGTATTGAAGCTATTCTCACTTTTCTTGGATCAAACATGATTACCGTCCATTCCATATTATTATAATGATAATTAAGCGCTAAACACATAAGGGTCAAATAGCGCTGCATCCATTCCATCACTCCCAGGCAATGTACAGCCCCTACGAGTTTAGCTCTCACAAACGAGTATTGCATGAGGGAGCACTAAACTCGTAGGGGTCATAGAGCACCTCAGGGAATGGCAGGCTTTCAGCTTCAGTCCAAGGGAAGGACACCTCCAATTTCATGGATCAAGATCCCCTCACTGGCATCAAGGATTCTCTCTCGAGAATAATAGTAAGTACCTGGGGAATAGGAGGTAATCAGGTTCATTTCAAGGGGAGAATTATTATAATTATAATTAAGATCTAAACCCATACGGGTCCAAGGTGAAAGAAATGGTTGCTCCAGTTCCTCGGATGAAGAGCTCTTCAGCAGCAGAGTGGGCAAATGAGACATTCTATTCAATTATGTTGATGTTTTATTTAGTTTAACCAAACTGAAGTTCCAAACCCATGGAGGTCCTGTAGCACCTGGGAATGGAAGGTATTCTGGTTTGATCCAGGGAAAAGGACAAGTCCATTTCTTTGAATCAAGAGCCCCTTGCCATCTTCAAGGCATCAAAATATGTTGAATGTTTTACTAAAGACAGGCACTGATCAATATAATATAATCATAGGCAAGCACTAAACCCATGGGGGAGCGCTAAACCCGTAGGATTATACAGTGCCTGTGGGGGGATCTGTGGAGCACAGATCCAATTCCCTAGATCAAGAGCCTCTCCCCAGTGTCAAGGAACCTCCCTTGAGGGGACCCATACAGGTAATACAGCAATTAATAAAACGAAAATACTAAAGAAAGGTGTTGTTCATTATTGGGTCACAGTTACTCAGACAGACTCAACTTCCAGGAAAGCAGGGACAAAAACTGCACATTTTCATACATGAAAAACATGTATCACATGATTAGTCTGATCACCTTGGCATGGAAAGCCTTAATCAGTGCTGCCCTAGGCATCAGTGAAGACTACTAACACTTCTACAACTAAAAGGTGGAAGAAGGAAACTGGATTTACTAAGACATAGGGTCACTCAGCCTTGTTGCCAGAGATGGGATATAACTTAGCCATTATATACATATGCTTTCTTTCAAAAAGGTGACCTCTTTCCTGCATTAGTATTACATTTACACACTAAACCTTCCCTGTATATACATGAGGCACTGATGCCTGTGTACATGTCCTGGAACATGTACATAGTACATAATATGTACATGTATTGCACATATTATATTATATAAGGAACAATCTAGAACAAGATAGTTTACTGCAAGGCATTTTAAATTCCCTCAACTATACCAGACAATGGTGGCACCAACTGTTATGTGGATGTGAAGCATGGGTTTTATATGTTGCAGTGAGGGGGCTGGAGGCAGTAGAGATGATATGTTTGAGGGTAATGTATGGTATTATGCAGAGAATTCAGTGCTTGGAGATTAGGAGGAAGTATAGTTACCAAAAGTATAAGTCATAAGTTAAAGAAGGGTTGTTGAGGTGGTTTGGACATTATAGAGAGGATGAAGAAAAATAGGATGACTAGGAAGGGCATGGGTCATCCTGAGAAAGATTTTGAGGAAGTAAAGGAGGTTTCAAGGGCTAGGAGCTTGAACATCCAACATACTTGTGTGAGAATGCTTGAGCTGACTTGAGCTCTGTAGGTAGGAACTACAGTGCTTACACTCTCAAAGACGGATGAGAATGTTGCAGCTCAAAAATCAGCCTACCTTGGTGGCAGACAGCATCTTTAAAAAGATTAAGTCTTGCTTCAGTTTAACCTTCTGGAATATATAATTCTGACACAGGGACACACAAGCTCTATCTCACTACACCAAAGAAGACCCCAAGAGAAGGGGCATCGGCTTTGATAGCAAACCCAGTGTTATTAAAACCTGATGGAAATGAGGTTCCTTGATGCCAGTGAGGGGCTCTTGATCCCAGTAATTATACTCTTCCATGGATTAAACCTGATTGCCTACCATTCCCCCCATGTGCTGTATGACCCCTACAGGTTTAGTGCTCCCCAATGAATACAATAACTAATAATAATATGGTAAATGACAATCTTTGTACAATGCTTTAAAAAAAAAAAAAAAAATTCACAAAGAAAATTAATAGAAAATCTTGGTATGGTCAAACCTCAGTTATTGATTGCATTACTTGTCGAATAAATTGGTTTTTGAATGAGGTGTTCAAGAAAAAAAAGTCCTGGTTTTCATACTTTCTCTTGGTTATTAATATATCATTATATTGTCATTTGGGGTCTAGAACAGAGTAATTCTATTTACATTATTCTTTATGGGAAAAATTGCTTTTGGTTGTAGAACTGACATCTGGAACAAATTAAATTTGAAATCAGGGTTCCACTGGACTGTATTTCAGAAGTGTATTAAAGAAATTCATGGGAAATTTATAATTTATTATTAAAATCAAAAGAAACATTACAGTATTTTCTCTCAGAGTATGTAGGTGCCATTCTTCGAATTTGCCCAAGAAATTACAATGTAAGCAAAAGTAATTACGTTGAACATAACAAAACTGCATTTACATATCTATATATGTACATAAATAAGATGACTAATGAGCTGACAACCCTTATGTCACTTATGACAAACTGCCAAGCAATTATTGACTTACACAGCACAAATGATGTTTCTGCTCATACACAAAGACATGATATCTGTTTTCCTTTACATCTTTTTCTTGTATGTTTATTGTAATATACAAGCATTCTGCATATCAACTCTAATGCACCTGCAATATTAGTATATTATACAATACATGCTTCAAATGTAGTCTCAGTATAAGAAATGATGCCACAGTAAAGATCATGCAGCAGTTCAATTATGACAAACAACATAAGTTTATCTTATGTGACTTGAAGTATTACCTCAAATGAAGCTAAATGACTTAATAAAATCCCTTTCAGCAACCTTTTTTTGCATAAAATTTGACTTCCTAGTCTA